CCAGGTCTGCAGTACAAGATGGAGGGGGATGCACATGGAATAAGGCGAATAAGGGAGCATAAAGGCACTTATGCTGATGATGCGCACGAAGCCTTCTGTGATTAGTCCGGTTACATCTGATGCACTCTCTATCACTCTCTCATTGCCGATCGACCTGTGCCTTCGTGAACACCAGCAATTTTTTCCCTACTGTAAGCCTGCGACTGGTTGCCAGAGTTGTTTGCCAGGGATGCTACAATCTGCTACAACATGATGATAGGTGGATGCGCCGAGTAGGTTTGTACACTTCGATATGCCTGTCTGTGTATCACCAAACCTCTTTGCTCAGACCAGGCCAAGCGGGTTGCTTATGTTTCGGACGTGATGGTGCCCGGCAGTTGCACAGGACGCTGCCGAACTGGTCGGGGCACCTTGCGCCGTTAGGCATCTCCATACGCGCACCTTCCGGCTCTTTTGGGAATACTCCACACTACATCGCACTACGGTGTGCCGCAACCACGTAGCTCGCACAACAGAACTGCTCAGGGCACAGCTACTTCGGCAACTTTGCTTTGGGGATGTGCAACTGGCCTGACTCTGGTTTCTGAATCTAGGATTGACAGCCCCTTTTTTTCTCAACAGCACCCCACACTACAGCCCAAACTTCTCCACGGCACGAAGCGCCAATCAGTGCAAAGTCGTGTGCGCACTACTGCTCTCCTCTCTCTGAAACATTCTGAAATCACTACTTGTCGTCTCGCATTCTGCTTCGCTTCTGGAGCAAGAACGGTGTCGCGAGGGACGAGAGAGAAAATGCCAGTCCTCCGTGATGAGGCCTGTGCCCGCCGTGTCAATGGCACGGAACACGGCCTCGAGCTTCGCCACGTCCTCGTTTCGCTTTTTCAATCGCGTTGAGAACATGTGCTCCGCATCGTTCTGAACCACGTCCAAAGTGTCCTCTGGGTTTGATAACATGAACATGCAGGACCCATATGCATCAATTCGCACCAGGTCCCGCCGTGCCTTTAAGAAAATTGCAGAGATCACACGTATAAGCGCGAAGACAATGATAGTGATATAGACCAGGAAAAAAAGGGCGAATATCTGGTCGGCCTGCAGCATGCAACAACCCAGCATCGACAAGGTGGGAGCAGGGCCCGGCGTCAACATACATCAAAAAAGCAAGCTGCTGCAAGCTGAACTAAACAGTTAAACAGCCTAGGTTCATGTGGGAGCTTGCCGCACACCGTCTCGGGACAGATGTCCAATATTGCTAGAAAGGTTTGAACTTTGTTCTTTTGGAGGGGTTGCTTTGGTGTGAATACCATATGGTGCTCTATTTTGGGTTGATATGGCTCTCGCCGAAGTCCCATCAACTTCAGACGTTCTTTACCTCGCACATCCTTTTTGACCCGAGGTATAAATCGGTATAAAACACATATTTAACTAAGGTATGGCAACATCGTACCACTGATACACATTCGACAAGGTCAAGCGGAAGCCATTAGCGCACGATTTTTCCTGCCAAAAACACAAGCTAAAGCTCAACGGCCGTCTTGATCGCGCCCGATGCATAGCAGTATAAGATTCAATCGGAAGCGCTTGGAATCTCGACAACTCGTTGGCTTGCTGACAAAACTCTTTTCTTGTCTCAAACTTGGACTTTGGCTCGCGACGGCACGCCCAGATGGCCTGCAGAAATACAATAAACAGGACTTCCGGATCGCGTCCGCACTGTCCGAGAACAAACAACGATCAACACAACACAACCATCCCAAAGCCCCGGTCAGACTATGCGATCGCCTACGACAGCACACCACCACTACCGAAAAAACCGCCACCACCACCACCTCCACCACCACCACCACCACCACACCACCACCACACCACCACCACCACACCACCACCGCCCCACCACCCCACCACCCCACCACCCCACCACACCACCACACCACCACACCACCACACCACCACACCACCACACGACCACACCACCACGCCACCACACCACCACACCACCACACCACCACATCACCACATCACCACCACGGCCCGACAGCCAAAACAGCCGAAAGCCGACAGCCAACGGCCCACGGCCAACCGCACCCCGACAATCAGAAGACGAAGAACAAAAAACCCTTCCCCTCTGCCCACACCCATAAAACAATAGTGCCCGGACCCGAACCCTTGACCCCACAACCTTGAGCCTTAAACATCCCACCCCCCGAACTATTCCAACCGGGGCTTCAGGTTCTGTTACAAAGATAACCGAACGGAGGCTGCGAGGTTGAAGTGCGGGGATCCGTCGAGTAAGCACAGCTACAGAGCCCAAGCTGAGCTGCTTTCTCCATGACCGGGCGTGCATTTGTTGGCCAATTTCCTGCGAAAGCAGGGGGCGTGACGTGCGCTTGTGAAGCATCAGGACGAAGCTAGATACACACGCTGCTCGTCTAGTTTGGACCTCGGTTTGCTGACTTGTGGCGGGCGTGTCTATCAAGGTCCTGCAAAGGTCACTTCAAAAAGGGTCCAAGACGACCGCTGAGAGGTGCCATAATGATACCATAGCCACTCACGGTCTTCGAGCTCCAGGGTCTCATCCAGAATATACACTTGCAGCGTGTTTCCCAACGTCAGCGCCCCCATGGCCACGAAGACGGCAAGCAGTACCATGGACCAGAAAAGACTTGGAAGAAAGCATCGGCAGGCCTTGACGAGGACTCGCAAACCCCGGACGAATCTAAAACTTCGCAGGATTCGCACCGCACGAAGGGATTTCAGTGCTCGGGTCAGCTTCAGCAAAGCGATGTCCTGCGAGAGAGGGCCATGTCGCTACACTGCGCGGGTGTTTTTTTCTTGGCTAGGAACACGCTCTGAACATTCTCCCAGTGTTGCGGACACTGCACTCTGGCTTCAGTCTGGTTTTTGGGGCTTGCGAGGCCTGAGGCAAGGCCTGAGACAAGGCCTGAGGGCTTCCTTAGCTTCCTTGAGCCAGTCCTCATCCCGAACCTGGCCGCCAGTGAAGGGCTGGCTCATGAGCATGTCAATCAGCCCGAGTAGCACCAAAATGCCATCGAAGATGTTGGCCAAGTCCTTCCGTTTATGTGCAAACGCAAAATGCGAAGGAATGAACGGCGTCTCCTGGTTTTGATGTTGGGCTACTTTCGCCTCTGGCACTCCTAACCTGGGTATTTTTGCTGGGGGTTTGGAAGATACAGTACAGCACAGTACGTTGCGGTTTCGGTGGTTTTGATGGAAAGCGTTGGGTTTTGAATTTTGTCGGGCAGGCATACATAAAGAGACGGGTTTCGGTTTTAAGTGTTCGGGATTTTGGGGGCGTTTGGGGATGTTGTGCTGTCTGCGAATTGAGGTCCTCAGGTTTTGGGGTTTGGGGTTCTTGGATTCTGCAGTTTGGGGTTTGCGAGTTTGGGGGATTTTGTCGGGTGTTCAGGAGGGTTTAGGTCTTCAAGTCTTCGGAAGTTTACCCCCCCCCCCCCCGCACAAAGCTCCAGGCAGAAGTTCAGGCGCTCGAAGCCCAGTCGGCACAGCAACTCAACCAAGAAAACCAAAACGAAGGCAGCATCGATTCGACGCAAGGTCGGGAGGTAGTCCCGCAAATCCTCGCCATAAGGCAGACCGACTTCAAACGCAATAGAGCGCCCTTCTACTTCCAGCTCTGCAATCAACACCAGGGAATTGAGCAGGACCATCACTCCGGCAATGTAGTCGATGTAAAGCCGCAGGCTCTTTATGATCGTACGCAGGGAGGCGGGCTGCGGGTCAATGCCCAGCAAGTTTTGCATTTGCTGTGTCAGATCCGACGCTCGTGAGTTGCGTCGTTGCGAAACCGAAGCTGAAGCGATGGAGTTGGACACAGCGGACTTCACAGATTTCTCAGGCAAAACAAGCACTTCGGACGCTTCGGACGCTTCGCACGCAGCTCCTTCGGCTCCCGCAGACACTTTATCGCCCAAGAGGTCTTCCAGCAGGTCAGGAACAGGCGGAACCGGGTCCACCGTTTCTGACACCTCAGGTCGCCACGCTGCCACATGGCTCAGGCTCAGCCCAAGTGCCAGAGGTACCGTAGTGCTCGCAATGTGGTTACAGTCGCTGTCGCTTTGAAGGTGGTTACAATCGCTGTCGCTTTGAAGCTTTCCTCAGCTGGAAGCTGCTTCCGAAAGGCAAAAACACAACTCCTCTGAACATTTCTGAACACTCCACCACTCCACCTTCTCCCTGACGTGAAGGCAGAGCTTTTCAATGATTGTAGGGGGGTTGCTATCTCGGTTGTTATATCGCGCGCGCGCGCATCTATGTATATATATATATATATATGTATCTCTCTCTCTCTCTCTCGCAGAGTTCTGTGCGTTGGGCAGCTTCCATCAGCAGGTCAGCGACGACTAAGCTAAGGGACTAAGGCGATCCAATCTCTCCCAAGCAGAGTTCAGCGCTCTTCGCCAGGACTCATGCTCCTGCAAGGAATAGCCATCGTGTGCAGCTGGTAGCTTCTCTGCTGCCACAGTCCTCCTGCGCACGTTCAAGCAAGAGGCTCTGCTCCGCCGCAAAGGCCCGCAAGACGTCCTGGGCAAGGTTGTAGGTCACTGCAGGCGCAGGTAGATGCACTCTGAGCTTAAAGGGTCGTGGCTCAAAGTCACTCTGTGCCCATGCATGTAGCACTTACAATGGCGACTGTCGCCGCACTGTCGCCCTCAACCGTTGACACGCTCACCAGCCGTGGCTGGTCCTGCAGGAAAGTATTGGCGGCCGCTTCCTGGGAATCCATCGAATCCTGCTCGTCTACATAGTTGGTAGCTGTGAAAAAAGAGCGGCTGCGGCGATGTCAAGCCAAGGTCCACAACCCCAAATTGCTGGCTCACAAGCACCAAAAGTTGATGGGGGGCACTGGTACGACAGACAGACCAGATCATGAGCCATGAACGGGCATAATGGCATAATGGTATCATGGTATAACGGCATAACCTCAAAAAGTCTGCATCAAGTCACTTCAGCAGGGCTGCGGCTCGTTCGATCTTGCCACAGTCCGGGTGCGTTCGCACAGTTCTGTGCAGGTTGGCTCTGACCACCTCGGGAGATTCAATTGATGCCCGGAACTCAGCCACGAGAATTCCCTAAAGCAAGTTCATTGTCATTCTAGTAGCAGTAAGGACTCAAAACATGAGAATGTTCTGCACCTGCGTGCTACTTGCTGTAGCCCGCGGAAAGTGTCGGCTTTGAGCCGTGGCCCGCACGCGCTCCAGTCCGTAAGCAGGCAGTCCACAGGTGAGCACCTTCAGCACGTCTTCTCCGTGCTCGAAAAGGTGCCGAATGATGAGTTTCTGAAGGGTGGAGATTGCTTTGCACTTGTTTTTTGGAGGGGGGGGGACTTGTGTGCTAGGAAATTTACAGGAAACATCCATTTCCTCTGTATCATGCTGTGTCCCCTGTCATTCAATAGGAAACCTTCTCTGCCTTCTCCACGCTTTATAACGAATGAACCTCCGCTTTTTCCGCGTGTCAATAGCACTGCCTCTGCTTATTTTACATGTGCATAGAAACTCTATATCCTCCAATCCAGCTTTCAGAAAACCTTGGGCTTCCTCCGTTTATTGATAGGAAACCCTGCCCATTTGCTTCATGAATATTTTAAAACAACATGCCTGTTTTAGTACGTGCTCTAATTATGTCGGATCAAACCTCAATCCCTGGTCTGCGTGGTCATGGTTTGGGGCGCACCTTCCCCTGCGCCCAAGAGTTGCAAAACGAATAGTACATCCAGGGCTTTCATTTAAACAAGGGGGTTGGAGGCCCAGGGGGGGGGGGGGCAAATGAAGTGGCTGGGCTGAACCCAACCCCAAACCCCGCTTCACAGAGGACGGCATCTCGAATAGCCCCATGAACCTCTTCACCCACTGGCTGCCCCAAGGTGCGAAGCTGATGCGACACAGAAACTGTGATAATCGCAAGCATGAACGGAGCCGCGCACTGTGTGACTGTGAGCAGTGGCACATAGTGGCACCTCATGCCCGACACAACGTATACCAAGTACGCAGGCAGCATTCGACCGCCAGCCATGCGGGCAGCCAGGATGTCGGCAGGCAGACCACGCGACCGCAGAGGAGCAGATCACGGGGACCAGCAGCCCAGGGGACCACCAGACCACAACATCCCCCCCAAAAAATTGCCCCTCCGTTTCTCAACGATTCATTCGCATCCTTCACACTGGGCCGGCATGACGTCTGCCAGCTTGGCCGAGAGCCGGGCTCGTCACGGCACTTTGAACCTGAAGAGCTCTGCAAGTGATCACCGACGCACTCTGAGAAGAGCCACTCCTGTAAACAGAAAGTACGGCCGCACATGACCGCATGCAAGCCAGACCCAAGCTGCAGACTGCTGTCACATGTCGACTGGTAGAACTGCTCGCCCGAGCAGGGCCTTTCATCGGCATTCGTCCAGGCAGCTCGAGTGCAGGCTGTGCTAGGCTGTGCTGAGAACATGACAAAGACTCGTCGCCCGAAGCCAGCGGTCGGTTTTCAAGAGTGAGACACATCCACCTCAGATGCTCGGATGAGCAGCGAAGCTCTGGCAAGGGACAGCGGTTTCGGTCTGAGAGGAGTGCACACGCGTGTACTTGGAGTGTACTTGGAGTGTACGTGGCATCTTTGCCGAAAGCGTGCTGGGACGGAAACTTATCGGCTCCATCGGAGCCAGCACTTGCAATCGGTCCTGCGACTGGACGTGATACTGGACCCGTGCAACTCTCTTATTGCTGGGTCCAATCTCTTCTTCTCACTGGCTCTATACCAATCTGTCCTCGTCCTTTGCCCTCGATGCAGGGTGTGTCCAACCATCCTCCTTTTGGGATCTTAAGAGTATCTTACGTCTGAATCTCTCACGAAACATCTACAGGAGGGCCGGGTCGAGGCCTGGGATATCTTGCTTCCAGATCTCTGTGCCCGGATCCACAAGGACGAAGCACCGGCGAGCTGGGATCAGGAAGTTTCAGGAAGTTTCAGGAAGTTTCAGGAAGTTTCGGGTGTCTTGTCCATAGAAAACATTAGTCTGGCTGTCTGGCTGTCTGGCCATCCCCCGACTTGCCTCCGAACTTCACAACACGACTGCTGTCGAACATGGCCTCAGGGCTCACATATTCTCACTGGTCAAAGCGAGTCAAAGCCTCCAACTCCAACATGGGCCATCGGAACAAGTCAAACAAGTCTCAGCTTGCCACACCCTGGACTCCGTCCACACCTCGGACTCAGAGCTGACATGAGCAACAGAAGCGACTCCATGGCCTGCTTTCCAACATTGTGCATCACAGCCATTCTGCCACTCTCTCATTTAAGCACGCAGACCTTGCAACGCCTGGATGATACTCCGGCACTCCTCCTCAGAAAGCGCCTGGACTGGGCACCCGCCTCGGGATCGGAGACTTGGGAAGCATTGGGAGCACGGACTTCTCTGTGTAGGGTATTTCCTGAAGATCCCACAGCTCAGGTTGCTCTGCCGAGCCCTCAACTATAGCTGTCGCCCCTTGCATCTCGGCCTCAATTACCGCGCAACCGCCAGCAATGTGGAGCACGTATCAGACACGTCCCGACTGAGACCATGGACAGAGCCCTCCCCGGTCACCGACGCGCTCGACCTGACACTACTGATCACTGCGTACAACAACTCCTGGCTGATCAAGACGTTGCAGGACGTTCCTCCTCGCGCCCATTTCTCGCCTCCAGCTCCGGCTTTGTGGTTGTGAGCAGAAGATGGCGTTGGAGAAGCCTGCGTCTCCACGTCGCAACACTTTTCTATAGCACCAGAAATGTTCTGATGCTCGGAGCCTTGTAGACGGTCCGCACTGTGCCGAGCAGCCTCCCATCTCCTGGACGTCAAGAAACTGGAGGAGCCTGTTTTTAGACCCTGGATGCCGACCCTCCGTGTGTCCTGCCACGTGCTCCAGGTGCAGTAATGCTCTACGCATGGGCTCTTGCAATAGCCTTCGGGGTTTGTCCGCACTATTTTTTTTGCGCGCAAGCGAAGTGATGCCGAGTCCCGAACCAACTTCTTTGGCTGCCTGCAAGCACAACTGGTCAAAGCAAAAAGGTGCACACCTAGTGCTTGCTTAGGTTGCAGCCTGCATCTCGCATTTCCTGCCACAGTGGTTCGCCTGCTTGATGACCCCACGGTGGCGGTACCTGCAGGGGTTCGATATTCCCATACTCGCTGCTCTTTTGCAGGAACGCCCAAGTGCGCAGTGCCTCTGGTGCCCACACTTCGAACAATCACTCCACATCGACCACTCGCCTCAGGAGCACCCCGTCTTGTGCTTCATCCGCAAAGCCATCACCACTGCACCCCGCAAGCACAAGTGTAAAGAACACAATAAACTACGTCTCAGCACCAGGCTCCAGAGGCAATCAATGCAAGTCACATGACAGGCCTGCGCCAGGGACACTAGTCATCTCACATCAAGCGAACCATGTGCCTATTGTTTTTGCCAGCTGTCCTGTCAGCACCCTAAACCAGCACAGAAACGATTCAAATGGACATTTAGTGGTGCCGTAGTGTACTGCCAACACAGTTGCTCAAGCCTTTGGTTCTTTTCTAGTTGCCACACCTTGCAGGAGTCCTGTCATGTACCGTGCATCCTGTTCTGCCCTTCAATGTCGTGCCTGCGTGTTGCAGGGCTCCACCTGTCAAAGATGCAACGGACATGAGTCTTCTATCTTACAACGATACCGAAGACTGAGACAGCTACCTCCTCAGTTGCATCGTCGCAGGGCGGCCCATTGTCCTATAGCATCACCAGGTTGTCCACGTCTCATGGTGATCTGTCGGTGGCTTGTAGGCTTCGTGCGGCTGCTGGAATCAAGATGGACCGCGAGCGCCTACAATGATCCAAACACGTGCGAAGGAGAGGATTGCACAAACCTTTGAGCTGGCATCATGTGAGGCTTGAAAGCGCCGCACTTTCGCTCGCCAGTGCCGCAGGTGTGCGAGCAAATCTGCCATTCCTGCACACACAAGGCGAGAGCCCCACCAGAGCCATCCTAAACCATGGCACTCCGCCGCACGGGCCTCCCAGTCTCCCATCTGGCATTCCCTTCGAGGGCCGCTAGTGAGCTAGTGACCATCACATGAGCTGCGACGCATATGCTGCTAGTGCTGCCAGTGTTTCCTGGCTGGGTCGGGCTGGCAGTCACCGGGCACTGCCTGAACAGGCAAGGGCACTGCGAACTTAAGCGTCCGAGTCTTTCAGCAAAGGGAGAAGGTCTATGGCGCAGTACTGGCGCAGTATGGCGCAGTGATGTACGGTGCCTCGCCAGGCCCTGGGAAGCATGGCCTCCAAAGGTCGAGCGGTGGCTCAGGAAGTTTCTGTTGTTGGATGTGTTGGGGCCCTCATTTCTCGCCTAGGCCATTAGGAAACCTCGGCAGCTGTCAGATGCTGTCAGACATGTCGTCGAGAGCTGTCTGGTGAGACATGGTAAATATGGTACAGGGAGTTGCAACGATGTTGCAACGATGTCTTCTTACAGCAACACTTGCTTCTGTCGTGAGGGTTAGGTTGGGCGCCACAGTCGTGAACCACATGTTGTGGACCGTGGGACCCGAAGGCATTAGCATCTGGACAACTAGGACACTGAAGACAACAGCGGCTGAGACAGCTCAGTACCTTTGTGCGGGACATCATCAGCATCGGGAGTGTCCTCCGATCTTGCTGGTGATCTCGGCTCAGGCAACGCGACGGTCAAGGACACAGCGCCGTCGCCTTGGGAAGGCTTTGCGATGGGCCCAAGAGGCCCAGGGGGCCCCGTCACCGCCTGTGTGCCCTCCACTGGCGCCACAGGCTCCACTTGCTCGGGCATCTGCTTCGGTCTCTTGGAAGCGTTCTTTGCGGCCTCAAGCAAGCCTGGCGGAAGCACGTCGGTCGTGATGATCCAAGATGACCACTGTCGAAACGACAAGGTGCGCGGCTTTGCGACACCACAGAGCCCTCCACCAGACTTGGGCTTCGATTTGGCCTTCGCCGCTTTAGCCTTAGGCTTGGCCTTGGGCTTCGGTGTTGCCTTGGGCTTTTCATCATCTTTCTCCTTGGGAGCCTCACTTTCCAGGCCAAAGGCTAAAGGCTGCTCTTCCTTTGGTGCGCGGCCACACAAGCCTCGCCCTCCTTTGGCTGCCTTCTTCGGCTGCGGCATCTCCAACTTGCCGGTCTCTGCTACTTTGCTGGACGTGCTTGCCTGGCGCTCGACTCCAGTCTCCTTCTCCGTGCCTTTGTCTGAAGCCTCGGCTTTGTTCTCACCTCCCTCACCCTCCTTCCCATCCTTCCCATCCTTCCCCTCCTTCCCCATGTCCACTGGCAACTCTGGTGCCTCCTCCTCATCCTCCTCCTCCGAGTCCTGGAGGGCGAAGGCAGCGATCGCTTGCTGAGCAATACGTCGGACCTCCATCATTCTACGACGTTCGTCCAGCTTGCGGAAATCTTTCTTTTCCGCATCAGAGAGGCTGGTTAATGTCTCCAGCGGCTCCGAAAGGAAAGCATCGATGGTGCGCACCAGATCGTCGAAGCCTACTTTATCATCGCCGTCGGCATCGAAGAAGCAGAACAAAAGCTCCAGGAGCTCTGACTCGGAGCTCCACCTCAAGGCGGAAGACAGGCAAAGTACTTCGAAGCATGTCAGCTGAGCCTTTCGAATTGGTTCACCCAGATTTTGGACACGTGCCAGATGGTAGAGCCGTCGCGAAATCTTGGAAGGCAATCGGAGGTTGAGTTGCAGAAGCTCCATGGCGTTTTCGCGCAAATAGCCCATCTCATCCTTCACGTCCTCCAAACTCCGGCGCAAGTCTTGGCTATCCCTGGCACGGTCGAAGACCGGGTCGCTCACTGGAGCCCGGAACTGCTCCCATGGAGGGATCTGCTCGAAGTCCCTGGAGTCCCGGGAGTCCCGGGAGTCCTTTGAGTCCTTTGAGTCCTTTGGCCCCGGCGCCAGCAGCAGCCGGCGCCGGCGCCGCAGCGCTGCGGCGCCCGGCGGCGCCTCGAATCCAGCTTTGGCCTTTGCCCCCTTCGAGGCCCCGCTGCCCATGGGATGTAGAGTTATGTAGGTGCACCCGGCTGCACGCCCCGGCCCCAGACTCTGTCTGTCCCTGTGTGTCGTGCGAAACAAATGTACCGGTACATGTGGCTACAGAAATGTAGGGCACACGTCTGCTTTCCTGGCGCCCTTTGCAGATACTGCAAGCCCATGCCGAAAAAGAACTCTGGCAGCAAGACTGTTGACTGCTGCGGCACTCTTGCAAAGCAAGCGCTGACTCTGACAAAGGCAACCCTTGGGAACGTCGCTACGGTCCGCGGATGTTCGAGGTCCGAGGCGTCGGCTCCACATCCTTCAAGGACGCCTCCGAACAGGGACGGCCTGAGCTCAGGCTCGCAGTTGCTCACAGTCAGGAAGGTCACGTGGGACTCCCCAAGACTCCCCTCAAGATCCTCAATCCACTCACACATCTGGCATTGCCCGGACAGAGCCCAGACAAAGAGGCCCCGAACAGCCCCGAACACTCCTAGTTAAATGGCGAAGCCGTGCGACAGGGTGCAGGTGTCCACGCCCCGCCTTTTTTTGAGGGTTCAGGGACATTGGGTTGAGAGCGGTAACGTGCCCCGCCCCTTTTTTGAGGGTTCAGGGACATTGGGTTGAGAGCGGTAACGTGCCCTTGGGGCCTTGCGGCCATGCACGTTACAGGGCTGAGACCTGGGTGGCCCGCCGTTGCCAGAAGCAAACTGCTCCACCCGCCGATGACCTCAAACAGATCAAACAGCTGCACAACGACAGCAGCGAGAATTTCGCCCAATACAGTGTGAACGCTGACGGCAAGCTTAGGTTCGAGCGTTCTCGCACCCCAAAGCATTTACAACCTGGCTGCCATAGTGCCATAGTGCTTTGAGCGACTCTAGATCAACGGCTGCACAGTGACAAACATCGGTTGAGATCAGGCGGGACATTTCTTTGACGGGCACTGGCCGATGTAGCACAGCTGTCTGCTGCAGCCACGAAGAGCCCACCACCCGCACCACCGGCATCACCTTCACGATGCTCTCGGGACAATTTGCCTTGCCCATGCTCGAACCTGCTGCCGTGAGCCTTTCTGTGATCAGGGTCGTTCAGGCGTCTCTTGTCTGGTCAGCTACCAGCTGGCAGCTCATTACAGATGGCGGAATCCAGATGCCATGTACGCCCGGGCCGCATTGCTCAGGGGATCACAAGGATTAACATGAGCTGCAGAAGTCAGCTGGACAGAAGATATTGGCTGCAGTTGGCCATGCAACTCTGTCAAGTCTTGCAGAAGTCTGCAAGCTGTTGCAGGACCGCATTGGAGTCGCCACCATGCTCTGCCGGACCCCACGTCACAACGGTTGCATCACCTCGAACAGCCGCGAAAGCATGTTGAGAAGGGCGGATCATCCGCACGTCATGCAGTTGGTCCTGCACGCTGCCGCTATTGCCACCCCGATCTGCATGACCCCAGGTCACTACTGCTCCATCTGAACGGATAGCAGCAAATGCTTGCTGTGAAGCGCATATCTCTTGCACATCTCGCAGTTGGGTCTGCACCGCGCTGCTGTCACCCCCACAATCAATATCGCCCCATGTAACTACAGATCCACCCACACGGATGGCAGCAAAGGCACGAGCAGAAGCGCAAACTTTTCGCACATCCACCAACTCATCTTGGACCTGCGGCATTTCCAACTTGCCTGTCTGAACATGACGCCGCTGCCTACAGCAGCACCAACCACACAAGTAAAACGCAGAAGAGCCCACCCTGTATCCCAGAACATGCCCAGAACAAGATGCAACCCAGGCTGGCAAGGATGGTGTGTGCGAAGCCTCACTTCGGACACAAAAGCATGTTAAGAAGGAGACATGAGGAAGGCAACTGCAGCAAGAAAGAACTCGGGGTCACCATCCACACGGGATCGAAGTTAGCAGGGAAAGGATAAGCACAACAAGTTGGTGGGCACAGAACCGGAGCTATTCACCGACGACCGGGAACTATTCAGAAAGTTGATCGGAGTTAAGACAGCGCAAGCAAAGCGCAGAAGTGTGAGATGAGCAGCCGAACCTCCAACACCAAACCAAACGAAGTCCTGGTCAGACACATCTTTCCGGAACATGTTTGGGACATTTTTGGGACCTTGCTGCAGTCGCCACCAAAATCAACGTGCCCCCAAGCGATAACTCGTCCATCTGCACGAATCGCCGCAAAGGCTGCTAACGAAGCTTGGACCTCCAATACCTCCCAGAGCTGCTGCTGCACTGCGCTGCAATCACCACCGTGTGTCCCATCTCCCCACGTCACAACTCGCCCGTCGGCCCGTATTGCAGCGAAAGCGTCTATGGTTGCAGCAAGGCTCTGGACTTCAAAGAGCCTATCTTGCACTGACACGCTGTCTCCGCCGTAATCGCCATAGTCCGCGTCGCCCCAAGTCACAACGGTGCGATCTGCCCGGATGGCGGCAAAGGCCCTCAACGAAGCACAAATGGAGCGCACTCCCTGCAATTCATGTTGCACAGCTGCACTGTCACCTCCGCACCCTTTGTCACCCCACGTGAGGACTGTCCCATCTGTGCGGATGGCTGCGAAGGCCCTCTGTGAGGCAACTATATCCTGGACGCTGTGCATCTCCTCATGTTTTCAGGGTTCTGGCCGGTTTCGAGGGGCTGTTGTGAGGTGCCTCATTGCAACGAAAGGGTAGGGCGTGCACAGAAAACATCAAAAACAAACCTTCATTGAGGTGAAGACAGGCGTCCTTCTTGATTTTGCTGCTGTCACCACCACAATACGCAGGACCCCAGGTCACTACAGTGAGGTCACCGCGGAGTGCCGCAAAAGCATGTTGAGAAGCAGAGATCTCACGGACATCTGTCAATTCCTCTTGGACTTTACTGCTGTCACCTCCCCGATCTGAACAACCCCATGTTACCACAGCACCATCCGCACAAATCGCAGCAAACGCCTGCTGGGAAGCACGAATTTTCTGCACATCGCGAAGCTGCCACCGAACCTCGGAGCAATCACCACCGTAGGCTGCATCGCCCCAAGTCACCTTACCGAGCACAAAATTCCATAGCTTCACCTCTACGCTATCAAGGGTCAGGGAAGGACACTTGCCCAATGTGAGAAGCCCGTGTTTTCCCAGTTTGGCAGCTCGCTGCCACAGAGCTACACTGTCAACGCAGACTGATGACTCTACTTTGACGGGGGCAAATGTTTAGAATGGTCTGTACTCTTGCGGATACCCACACACAGAGGCTCAGGGGGTTCCGTCAACAAGAACACAACTTTTCCCAAAAGGGCTGGTGGTGCTCTTGTGGGCCCGTCTGTGGCGAGCAGTAACTGGGCTTCTGGGAACCAGAAGTTGCCCAAATACTCTTGAAGCTCGGTAAAACCCTTAAAAGTTAATTAAGTGCTTTGTTTGAAGTGTCTCTCCCGGAGCCCTCCGGCTTCGGAGCCCTCCGGCTTCGGAGCCCTCCGGCTTCGGAGCCCTCCGGCTTCGGGGGTGCAGGGTGCCGTAGCAACGGGCAGCGTCGGAGCCACCTCGACCCCTCCGCTAGGTGGAACGCGCGTTCCCAAGCCGCGGGGCCGAAAAAAAAAGGGGCCCACTAGCTCCAGGAAAGCCTTCAGTTCAAAGGTGGCAGCGTCGCATGTCAGCCTGCTACGGCCGACGTCGCTCAGGTTGTCCCAGCAGCGATAACAGTGCCCCTTCCTTGTTCTCTCCACACCCGCCTACTTCGAGGGACTTCTTCCATGCACATGACCGACCGACAGGATGTGGTCCGTGGCTTGGTCTTTAGTGTAAGGGGGGACCCTTCGGCTGGTAGCCAGCCAACACATGAGGGCAAAAACAAAGGGGGAAGCCAAAAAACTCAACCCAACAACTTTTCCCTGAACCAAGCAGGGCCGCTAATGTCCTGTTTCTTTTTCAAACGTTGAGTTGACCGTTCTTTGCGCATGCTACATGATACATGTTGTGTCTGCTCGGCCTCTGCCTATGCCTCTGCCCAAGCCTCTTGGGACTACTGACTACTAGCAGGGGGCTTCTGGAGCTGGTATTTTTCAACTTGACGACCCCAAAGTGCAAGCACTCTAAGCACTCTTCAGGTGCACGCGCCTCAACAGTTCAACATCAGCCTTCACTGCAGCCAAGTGACAACCCTCCCATCACTCCACACCATGGCAAAGGCATCGCCTTGTCTGGGAAGGTTCATCGACCAAGACCCGCTCGCGCGTATCAAGGACCAGTAGCAGGAGACGATCTCCACATCACGCGCACAGGCAGTGACCTTGTCCCCATCCTGCAGGCCTGCTTCACAGAGCACGCTCCAACCCGCCAGCTGCTGGCCCGCTTCAGTGAACAAGTCACGCAGCCCAATGCCCAACATCTGCTGGGCTTTGCGACGTAAGTCAGCCACGGTAGATTCCCTGGATATTGCAACAGGAGCTATCCGTCCACTGAGCAGTACTACATCGATACGAAGCAGCGCAGCATCTTCGGCTGCCATAACCGCGAGAGACAGCCCAGGTGGCGCAGAAGCTCCGAAGAAACATGTTGTCGATTATTGTCAGCCGAGGAGGTGGAGGGGGGGGGGTGATGTCAACCCTCTCCCTGATGACGTTCTGTTTATCTGTGTTCATGCCCAAACAATTCCTTTCTAGAATGCTTCGTGAATCAAGAAGCCGTAACATCTGCCGTGACATCATGGCCTGCTCCTGATTTGCAAAAGGCATCACACTGCTTCCTCAATGCTTAGACCTAGTCAGGACCTAGTCCCTATCGGAATCGTGACTCTGCAAGGCGTGCCCGAAAAGAAAACCCTCACACATTGCAAATCGTGGCACAATGACTGCACCCAGTCCAGGGGTTCCACTCGGAGAGCAGGCAGTCCTTGGAGCATGCTTCAGATGCTTCAGCAAACGCAGCACACGCAGCGTTTTGTCCGCCAAGTCCCAAAGCAGTCTCCCCATGCTCTCTCCACGATTTCGCGCAAATCGAGTCAAACATTTCAAAAGTTCAGCATTAACTCTGCAATCACCATCATGTACCATGTAGCAACCATGCACCTGACTGTCTTCGTCCAGTGGGACAAGGACAACGCGAGGAAACAGTGCAACACGACCCTTATGGAGCCACCTCAACAGTGCCAGCAAACTAGAAGGAGCGAAGCCAACAACTTCCACTCCACTTCTCAGCACCACGTCTTGAGGCCGCTTTGCGACCCGGCCTCACTCTTAACGTCCTGAAAAAAACACGAAGGTCGAAGGCCTGCTGTGCTGCTGGCTTTGCCGTCGCTGTTGAAAGCAGTGGCAAAGGGAGCTTCAAAAAAAGACATGCTGGTTGCTGGATGTTGCTGGCACTTGCACCCACCGGCCAGTGGCAACAATGCAGCATGGTCGCGACTTTCGGAGCAATCCCGCCATTTCAATGTCTTTACAGTTAACATTCTACTGCTTTGCAAGCCTCTGGACCGAAGCGGACGCAAAGCTACTGCCAGATTGCAAAGAAGTCAACTCGGCAAAGATTCCTTGGCTCCCTGCCCGATCTGGGATGCAGCTTGGCTGTCCGGTGCAGACCTGTCAAACGCGCCGGTCAAGCGGCGGCCCAGTATGCAATTCGGACTATGGTGACCGGATGTCCATGAACACACGCGGCGCCCTGAATCGGCCTCATACTGGTCTTCCAACCCCAAGGCAGGCTTGCCACAGAAGTTGGGGTGACGATCCACGCTGCGATGGCGAGCCTCGCAGACTCTACACGAGGCACCGCCACACTATCAGACATGCAGCCAGCATCATACCACACGTTCCTGCCCAAACCCCACGGCTTCCTACTTGTGTCCTTCCTGTGACGTGAGCATGCCTTGTATGATGAAGCACAGGTGGCGGAGCAGGCAGACCACGAGCCCCACTCACTCCACCTTCGAGGTCAACGTTGGGCAGCGTTGGTTGCATAAGGTCATCGAAAATTGCTCGCAGACATCGGCACGCGTGGCCCCCCTTGTCCAGACTACATCCACGTGCATCCACCTAAAGCATGGTTGCCTTTGTGCCTGTGTCTTCTCGTGCTCTGTTTCTGCGCGGCTTACCAGAAGACACACACAACGGCCAACCCCTGACAGACAAGCACTGGTTTTTGTCTGGTTTTCCGCCCATCTCGAGATGCCAGCGCCCAGAGCCCTGTGCCCGCTGCAGCAGCTCATGCATCCAGCGAAGGCGAGCCTCAAAGACAGCTGTTTCTAATCGTCGGAACGAGTGACTAACAGTTCACCAACTGGAGTGGCTCCACAACTTTTGCGCCGAGCTGCTGCATGTTGCCACATGCCGCATCTCTCTCTCTCTCTCTCTCTCCCTCCCTCCCTCTTTCATAGCCATACCATGAGGAGGGCCTCCCACGGAAGCTCAGGGGCAGCCCATGCACGGTAGTCATAGCGACCTCCGCGTCTGGAGAAACATGGCAATCCACGGGTAAATGTATCAGATGTGGTGCACAACATTTTGGTACCGTTGAGGGTCGAGCCATATTTGAAGCTTTCGCCAAATCTCAAGAAGCCAGGGTTGCAGAACGAGCCGACCAGCCACTTGTCATACATGTCATAGTCGCCTGCGGGGGTGCTGGCGGCGGCTCTACGTTTGCGATTGTTTCCGTTTTGCTCTAGCAGCCTGGAATCAGGTTTCTCTCTGATTTGTTCTCGGGTCGCCTACGCGGCCAAAAGCGGGCATGTATTCTGCCCGCACCCAGACAGCATCATAGAGCTCAACCTTGCAATGTTCAAGTTTCAGGATGGACAGCAGCGGTCGAGTTCACCTCGCCTGCAGCAACTCGTACCCGAAGGGTACCAGCACCTGTGGCATGATTCGTAGCTTTGGGAAGAGGACAGTGACAAGTGTAAATGGGAATCTTCGATTTGCGCGACTCTCAGACTGTCCTCAGTCCTGCACCGAGTCCACCCTGGCAAGTGACGGATTCAGGCCAACAAGCTCTGGCTGCGGCGTGTAAACGAGCGGATCGTTCTCGTCCTCAGTTGCGCCAAGCGGTATCTGTGAAGTGTGTTGAAGTCAGGGTATAAAGAACAGTATTTCAAGATCAGCACTACATTGAACCGGATATTGTATTCCCGCCTTGGTGTGGCGCAGGTGCATGTTTTGGGGTCCAAAACGCTGCTGTCCACGGCTGTCATCGTGAAACTTGAGAGGCCCGGACGAAAGCGAGGAGCACATGTGGTAAGGGACCATATGCGTATTGACTTGAGACTTGAGGCAAGCCGTCGTTAGTGGAGCTTCCCGTTTGTTGCCACCCGTCAATCCGCGCACTACAGGGTCAAAGCGTTGGGGCAAATCGTGGCAAGCCGATGACGACTCGCCAAACGGTAGGACATGCTCCGTCGAGTATGGCCTCCCAATTAATCACAATCACATCCTTTCCTACGCCCGGTAGGACCCCTCGATAAGACGAACGCCACAAAGAAAAGTCAGGGTTTCAATTTTTGGAGCTCCCCGTAAGCCAGCTCTCGCCATTGGGGGATGTTGCAAGTCATGCACCGGTCCCAGACCTGAGACCACCCTCGTTGCATAGGGTCTTGAACTTGAACCCTTGAACCACGACGCTACAAATGCATGACTCCGGGCTGCCATACCCCCCCCCCCCCCTCCCTATGGCATCCACCCCCCTCGATTTTCGGGGTTGCGGGGGGAGGGGGGGGGGGGAACAATGGAGAAACTGAAGTTCAAGCGCTGTACGTGCGATGGCTGGTATTGTCATGAAGCTGGATCACTGCTTGTTCTTGCGTACGTTGACGATCTACTGGTCGTTGATGGCGAGACACTGAAGAAACAGCTCATTGGAGAACTCTGATGAGTTGGCAGAAGGGACTGACTGCACCTTTCTTGGCAGTAGATTGCGGCACCGCGGCGACAGTGTTGATGCGCAGGTCCTTCACTTATATTGACTCACTGTTCTTGGTGCCTGCGACTGAAACCTTGAAGCCGAAATGAGACCGAGCTGCAGTACTGCACGGGCCAAGCTGCGAGCACTGCAACTGCATCGTGAGTTCAAGAGCGAAAATCCACTGTAGCACTGCTCGTTTTGTCACACGGCAATGATGATCGTTTTTGTGTTGCTGTTCTAATTGCTTCGAAACAATGATGACTCTAATCACGACTGTAGTGAGTTGGTGGCTGAAGTCCCACTCAAGGGACTACACTGAGTCTGCGCACAACTGCCGCACACCACGACTGAAGCTGTCGTCGCTGCGACTGTACTGTTCTGGCTCAAGTGCTCAAAAGGTGAACTGACCATCGTGCTCAAAGCTTGCTGTGACTGATACGAGTAGGGGTTACTTGTGAGTGTACTGATTGCATTTGGATGCATGGACCTTGCTCGAATGCCTCTGGATGCGCTGTGTACTGCAAGTAAGCAGACAGGCGCGGTAACTTCTGTGGCCCGAAGACTGGCAAGTCGACGAGCTTTCAATCTCTAAATTGTTTTTTCATCCTCAAACAGCTTTCCTTGATCCTTCAATCGTTTTTGTGAACTGGGTTCAACAAACAACGAGAACAGATCCCAGCTCTCTCCCGGTCTGAGGACGACGCATACTCGCGCCAGTACGAGACAGGAGGCGGAAACATTGGGCCGATTTCGGTGTGCAACACCTGCAGGGCGGTTATTAATGGTGCTGGATCGGAATGGACTTCAACTTGACTTCAACCATGTCCGCACCTTGGGCCGCAGTCCAGATTCTAAGAGCCTGCGGAAGAGCTCATCGTGAGGCATGCTGTCGACATCTATCTTGAGGAGGTCCACCTTGCAAAGAAGCACTGCATCAGCGCATGGCGGGAAAGCCGGAAGCACCCCGGGATGACTGGGACAGTAAGCAGTGCACTTCACGCACGGGGAGGCTCTTCAACACAACGTCTGCAACGTTGAGCGGTGTGACAGCGATAGCCCTGATGCCTGCGTCGTGTGTGATTGTCGCCATTTAGCACTCCCGAGACAAGCTTTGTGCTAGAGCTGCAGCAAACCGGCTCTCCGACTAAATCGCCGCCAGGTCACGAACGTCATTCAACAATCCCTCATCATGAAGCCTGCCAAAAGTTGTTGCCTCATCCCATCTACATCCCTCGGAGCTGCAGGCTGCATCGCATTATATCACATGATTCACATGTTTAGTGCAGCGGCCTGGCATGCATGGCCTCTGCCATCGAGGCATTTCCCTCCAACAGCAAGCCATGGAAGTGCTGCTCTTCAACGAGACAGTTTGCTGGATCATGGCATTCCTTAGAGAGTCGACAAGAAAGTTGGATAGAACGATAGACCTCTGGGGACTCTTCAAACGCCACGGCTGTGGATTGCTGCCGGCAGGAATCTGTACCCCGACCACACTTCCCATCATATGCGCCCAAATTCACTACCCAGCGCGAGAGCTCCTGGTTGGTTCTCCACCTGAGATTCGAAGGACACGCTCAGCAAAGAACCGTAACAAACTAGGAGCCGACTCGCCTGATGCGCTTCAGGATGGCTTCCATGGAAAGCTGTGGCACCCGCAATCCTGCCAGGCGCAGACCCAGAGCTCAACAGGCTAAGGGCTGCCACACGAGAGCCTAACCCGAGTCAACTGGAGGCACAGGGAATGGTAGCAGCAAACTTAGAATGCGGCACCCTGGAATCAGCAGAATGGCTTCAAAAGATGGGGAGAAACAGCAAACCAGAAAACCATGGCTTGAATAATGGGTCTGTTCGACTCTTCAAAGCTTCCAGGATCCTGACTTTTTTGTATTGAGATGTATTAAGTGCTGACGTCTGCTGGACGCTTGCTGCACTACGTCTGGAAAGTCCGTGGCGTATTGCACAAGAACCAAAAAGCATCAATTGTTTTATTTCGAACATCCCCACCTTGCTCCTCGTCAACAGGAAAGATCGCAAACAAGAAATTTAAATAAAGACACATTGATTCAAATACGCTTTCTTAGTTTTTGCTTGCAATTGGGTTTGGGCACTCCAGGGAGACTCTGGGATTGGGCACTCCAGGAGTCTCTGCATTGGGCACTCCAAAAAACACTCTGGGGTTGGGCACTCCAGGAGTCGCACTCCAGGGAGTCTCTCCTTTGATTTTCTGGGGTTGGGCACTCCAGGGACTCTCTAGGAGTAGACCGGACGAGGAGAAGAGTTCCGGGCGAGGAGAAGAGTTCATCTTAAATCTAACAACCCCACACCGAAGGTGGGGAAAAAACAAAAGCAAAACTTGGCTCAGCATGTTCGCGGCCTTTACTAGAGCTTCTCAAACATCCAAAGAAATTACTTCTTGAGGCCCCAGGCACGTTCAAGCTTGGGCCTTTGAGTTGCGCTTTCTCCAGTAGAACGCCGTAGACTTTCAGAGGCAGTGGGCCCACAAGACTTTCATTCGTTGGCCTCGAGCTGCCTTCAAGCCGTCTATGGGCCGGCGTCCCGCACTAGCTTCTTCAAGCTAGCTTCGAGCAAGCCGCCCAAGAAATCAGCCTTTCGACCACGTCTGCGCATCAAAGTGAAGCCCCGATGGCGGAGCAGCAAGTAGCTATGCTGACGAGGGTGTAACAAGGCAAAGTTGGTTCTAGCACAACAAATAAAGGTTGCCCCTCGATCCGGACTCGATCCGGAGTGGGTTTCAATGATTGCTGACGTTCGAGGGCGCTTTCCAGTGGCATGCAACGTGCCTACAACGCATGGCCGTTCCCTCGGAGTCGTACCGTTGCAGCGCTGAGTCGACGGATTGGGGTCAACTATGTGGCAGCACTTGCAATCACCCGCTTTTGAACCCAACCCTTGTGCATCCAGCCCCCATCGACTCTGCCTGGAGTTTGTTCAGACGACGGATCCACCCACCCCTAAATCCCTGAAGCCCTTGTCCCAATTCATATGACACCTCATATGACAAAAGGGAGGGCTGTCGAGCAGAATTGAACAGGCAGTTTGTCAGTGGCTTGCCTCGAAAGTCGACGTGCTCCTGCCCTTGGAACTCTGGGTTCGTCAGAGCATCCAGCGGCAGCCTCGGGCATCGTGCCAAGCATGACACTACGGACTATGCCCGATGCACATCTCGGGGAGTGTGCGTTCGCGGATCACACATCCGTGATGGCGAGAGCTCTGCTGGAAGAAAGACAAGTGACCTGAACCGACTTCCACTCCAGCAACAGTGGTGCATGAATCTCGCACGCACGGGATCTTACCAGATGCGCCAGGAGCACGGTGCTGTAGGAGTCAAGGGTGACACCGGCACCCGAACGGCAGCCCTCACAGCGTGCACAATCTGCTCCAGCACCTGGAGGCAAAGCAGAAGAAGCTTAGGCTTAGAAGAACATGAGAGGTACCCTCCCACCACCTCTGGCACCAGCAGTGCCGTGCAAAGTGACCTGCTGGACTTCGAACCCAAATTGACGGTGCTATCGCTGTCACAACACAATCAACCCCATGCTTCCCGGATCAACATGTCCATGCTCGGGCCACAACTTGTGGCCACCCCGCTCTTGCACACCCAGCTCGGCGAGCGCAGCATCTGCAACGGCACAAAAGGTCCTCAGCTGGAAGCTTGTCAACGGGAAGTGGAAGTGCTGTCACTGCTACCAGGGGATTCAGGCAGTGGACCTCGCATACAAGCTGAAGCTGCCCTTGTAATGTGGCCAAGGGACAGTACGTAGTCCGCCGGCACAACATCGGATGCATAACAGCCCTGCCAAGTGGAGGCTTGCGATCTCATGTCCAACCACGCAAGCCAATGCATGGACTGCAGCCTGGAACTCGGCAGCGCAGAGCCCATATCGAAAGGCGTGCAAAGCCGTCAGCGCAGTGTTTGCGCGAGAGCTTGCTGCCTAATCAAACACGCCCCGACGCACATTTCCGTCCCACCGGGCGGTTGTCCCTTTGTCAAAAAAGAATTGCCCCACACATGATCATACACCTGCTTGTCTATAGTTGCCTCCTCGTGTCCTCACAAAGTGCTCTGCAACACTTGAGGGCCTTTGACAGCGGCTTGCGGAGAACTTCCAGAACCTTCCGGGTTCACACGCTTGCGGATTCAATGTGCTTTCGGGTGCTTTCGGGTCGTTGTGTGGCCCTCTTGAACACGGCCCATTGCACCTCATCAACTGCCGTGTCGATGACCTGCTCCCTCAGAGCCTCAGCTGTGCGGAAGGCGCCGCTGTTGAACTCCTGGTAGTACAGCTCCTCTGACAGGGTCTCAAGCCTGTACCAGTCACTTGGCTGTGCTTTGCATAGCTGCTATAGCTGCGTGCGGCCTGCTCTTGTGGGAGGATGTACGTGCGGACCCACTTCAAACCATAGTTGTGCCAACACCTGGAAGAGGAAAGGACAACCCGAAGGAAGAATCCACACAGAGGTGGCTCGCTGCCTCTCGGTGAGTGGCAGGACTGGCGGACAGAAGCAGCCCCCCGCCGCCAGCGCCAGGCCGGAAAAGGACATGCAAGCGGTACGAGATGTGTGGGGCACGTGTCTCTGCAACACATCAGGTGCTTTGACAAGGACATGTGCTTGATGGGATTTGCCTGGCTTTCGGCAATTATTTAGGCTCAATTCGCAATTGGATTGATTTACTCAAGCACTGACGTGATCAGAACCCTATTGGCTTGCATGCGCCTGATGGCTCTCTGCTACAAGCGAAGCCATAGAGCAACACGCAACTTGATATATAGCGCCCCCATGCGCCCGCAGTGCCATCTCTGCAAGTTAATATGAATGAACGTACAATCCGTTTCTTAAGTAAGGCTGGTAAGGTTGCCTTAAGGTGGTAACTGAAGATGAAGTTGGATATGGGACTACAGCATGCAGCACTTGATGTATTCTTGCTTGTTATACGACATTCAGAAGGATTCATGAAGTAAGTAGCTCAAGCATTTGTTGACGGAATAAGTGGGCATGACTATTAGAAACCTGCAGTTTTCCCCTAGCAAGGCAACAAGAAGAATCCAATCTGCACCTGCCGTCGACGCAAATGTCGCAGGTTTGCGTCGCGCAGGGTGCAATTTCACCCTTGTCCTGGAAGTCACCGCTTCGCCCTCTGAATTTTCATGTCCCCAAGCAAACACGATGTATCTTCCAAACACGGGATGATCCCCAGACCTGGGGCTCGCAAAGCTTGCCCCCATGCCGTGGCCTGCAGAAGCGAACGGAAGGAGAAGCATCACGCTGCATGCTTAGCTCGGCGAAGCCCCGCGCGATTGCTGGATGACTCGATTCCGTCTTTTCGTCCCGCCACCGCAAGTACAGCTGCAGGCCTAGCTACTCAGCAGATCCGTTTTGCAAGTCATGTCAGAGCCTACGGAATAAGAGACTTGGCAACGAGCGCTCCAATGATCCCAGTCTGCCCATGCCTGTCATCGAGGTTGAGATGGCTTGGATCTCTCGATGCTGGGATGCTTTGGGCTTTTGTCACGCTTGTCTTGCTTGGTGAGCTTATGGTGGTTGCTTCAACGCAAAATGACACTCTCCTCGGCAAAGTTACCAATTACAGAGGGCGAACTCAAGACCTTGGCCAGAAATTACCCAGCACAAAGTGTTCCTCCAAATGCGCAAGTTGGCGAAGTGTTCCCCCCCAAAGCGCAAGTTGGCCGGACGTACGCAGTCGACGGCAACGCATTCCTGAACACGGCATGGTCTCACCTCGATTCAGCTGCCACGCCAGACACACACAGAGACACACAGAGTGACTGTGACTGCATCCATCTGAGCAAACCCCCAACCAAAGCCACAGATGTGTCACATGATGGCACCTCCTCAAGTGGTTCGCTGCAGACGGCATGGTAGGATGTTGAAACGACCTGTTCACTGACATCCGCACTTGCAGCAACTGGCACTCGCGGCACTCACGGCACTTGCAGGCTCGCGCAACAGCTTTGCCCCGCATCCCCACGGCACAGTCAGCAAACATCGCTGCTTAACCTCACCCTGAAGCCGAGTGAAAACAGAAGAACCTCGCGGCTTCGAGAATGGATCCCATCACCTCGCCAGAGTCAAAACTGCACTGTTCCAAACGGTCCAACACAATGTCACCACAGGATTTTGCCGCATGTGATACCCGCCCCTCTCCATGGCCCGTACCACAGTCTTGGCTGCACCGAGACCTGCAGAGTTTTGTCTTCTTGCTGCAGCTGGCAAGCCGCAACCCGAGAAAACCGAGGTTCTGGCCATGTGGTCCAGGACGAAAGGGTGCAGGCTTGCTCCTCGCACTGCTGAGCCTCGAAGTGCCGAGATATGGCAGTTTGTCTTGGGACATCTTAGGAGCTGCTAGGAGGGTGTGCGGCAATCCAGGCGCCACACGCCACAGGCTCGCACCTCGTGGACTGTCTGGCCTTTCCAAGCACTCAGTGTCAGGTGCACAGCACGTACCAAGCAAAGCACCCAGAGCTGAAGAAAGCCTTCTGGGACCACCATATAGCAGCTCGTCTGGTCAGAAGGAAGCTGTCTTGTCCTGACAGCCGCGAAGTCGGACTAGCACTGATCATGTTTCAGGGATTCGGCTTCGAAAACGTGACAGTCACAGATACTGAACGCGCATCCTCAGTCTTTCAACGTCAAGAGCAGCTATCATGGATGGCACGGGGAGGCCTTTGGGACTGACCTGCACAAGTAGCACTGCACTGCGACCACTGGGACCTGCGCATGGCTGTAGCGGATCAGAGACAGCTTGCAGCTTACCACCGCCGTAGGCACGTTGTTTGGTGGCTGCGAAGGTTGTGCAAGGCTCTCCGCTTAAACGAATACATTGATTTCAGCTTAAAGTGTCATGTGTACGATGTTAGAAAGGCCTGAAGCGACCCTCTGAGAGCTGCACCAGGGCGCGAGAATGCACGCTTGCGGCTCCTTGCAGCAAGTCTGGTATGTCACTCACGGGAGCCGAATCGCAAGAACACACCGACGTCTCTGGATCGGCGTCTCAATCGTCCGCAGCTACGCAACCCCGGTTGAGGCTGCTGAATGGCATTGGGAAACTCCAGGGAGGCTCAAGCTGCCCATGTAGTGAGGTATCTGGTGCTTCAATCCGGGTTCGTGAGCCACCTCCACAATTCTCATCACATGTTCCAAACTCCTCCCCCTTCCAAAATTGAAGCTTTGTCCTTTTCTCTGTCTGCACCAAGAGCGCAAATCCACCGATTCAAAATTGAAATGCCACCTTTTTCTAACTGTTTGACTGGCAACTAGGCTGTGCCCACCCGTTTACAAGGTGCCTGGACCACAATAGCCATTCACACCCCTGCTTGGAAGTACTAAAGCCGAAAAGCCATGACTGACGAGCACCTGCTCATCTGTCGGACAGCCACGGGTCTCCCGCAAGATCTGGTTGCCTGCGCACCAAGCTCACATAATACTGCGACACGGCTTTCAAATCTATTGCCGTGTGACAAATCAAACTTCCGGCATCGACTAGGCAGCGACTGAGCTGCCGCACAAGGCACTGACCGCGAGGCTGGCTGTAGGAGGACCCGGCCTCGGGAATGCCAGCATGCCACGATTCATGTCGCGAAATGCGGAATTTGAAAGACAAACACCCTCTCTTCTCGACTATTAAACAGGCATAAACACTCGGTCGCAGCTGCGTTTAGCCTCGACCTGCTCGACCAGATTGGCGTTTTCTACAACATGAAAACAAGCTAACTGAAGGTGGCGCTTGCTGTCGGCCATTCCGCGTGAGGGCTGTGCGATACGCAAGCTCTACTATTGTGGTGTACGGGCTGATTATCGTTCACCTCCATGGGAAACGCACGATTGCACTCAATTCCAGGGCTGAGAAGCGGTTGACGGCACGTCTCGTCGGCCATGTTGTGCAAAAGCTGAATAGACTTCAATCCACTCATGCTACCAGACACATGCGCCGTCTGGTCTGCATGGGCGCTGAACGAACGAATGTTGAAGGTCATATGGACATTTCTCGTTTCCGCGGCTATGACTTTGACCATGTTGATAAAAGCAAACACCTCCCATGGGCCTTCGCTGCCCATTTATCTGCATTGTTGCACTGTCCGTCTCAGTCCTTCAGAAGCAGCTGCGAGCGCTAAGACAGACGCATCGGATGAATGATCCAGCAGGAGAACCAAAGCTCCCACTACCCTTCAAAGGTAGCGATTTTCACAAAACTGCCCACTGCTAACTCGAGGAGGTCGCATCATCGGTCGTGTTTGTCGCCATGCGCACGCGTGCACAACAGGACCAGCAATCCTACATCTGTTTGCTGTTATGGTCATTGCTGCGTGTGTTTGCCTCAATCTTGGTGCTGCTATTTGGAAACGGACTGAAGTCTGACCTTCAGAGTCGCCTGGCGCGCCTCTCGCAGAAATTGCAGCAATAAAAATTGCCTTTAGCGAGCCTGTTGAGCGTTTTTTGCCCCCAAGCTGGGAGCGTGGCTCCGATACTCCTGAGGCACAGCATGGACAGATGCAGACTCTGTGGCAGGTGCTGCAGCTGGCAGATGTGCTGGCAGCAAACTAGGGCAAGTCCTGGGCAGGAGACAGGATGTCACAACCCTGCCAGGCCTCAGTACCCAGATTGAACTTACAGTACAGACTAGTACAGATGCTAGTCGCATCTAACCCCCGAGGCCCGCACGCCCCATTCACTTAGCACACAGCTTTGACCTTGCTGATTGGCACTGAATTGGCAGCGCGTTACTGCAACAGCTGATGCACTGCCCCATCCAGGACCCAGGCTACCACAAGGCTCGATGTTGCATTGCTGCTGCTCGCCTTCAGGAACTTGGATGTGTTGGGCAATGTGGGCGACATGCACAACTGCAGTATGTCCAAGAAGGCTCAGCCGCAAACGGAGTGTCTGCATGTCGCAGGTCGCACCGCCGTTTTCTGCAAACTGCCGCACCCGGCGCAGGCGTGCCTTTCGATCAATAAGAAACACCCTGAACGGAAATGCGAAAATCAGCCCTATTGGAGACAGCGATGAATCGTAGCCGACTGCCTGCCAGCCCCCATCACAGCTTCGGCTGCACTCCGTCCTGGGACCCCAGCTCATTGCTACTCAATGCTTTCTGTTATGGGGAGTTGACACTGCACAATCTGCTGTCCATGACTGCCAGGTGGTGAGAAGGCAATCTTTGGACTCGAAGGACTCTGCCTGTCCACGAAGAACTCCGAAGGAAGGTTGCTGTTGCTGGCGCAGGCTCCCAACATAAAACTATCAGGCTGTGGCCACGCAAGGCTCTGTCTGATTGTAGGGTCCAACACCTCGGGGAATGCTGCAATTGCAAATCAACGTTGCCCTGATTGAGCAGCTTGGCATGTGCATTGCATAGACCTGCGAATGTACGTCCGGTCACCTGGCCCGCTGCACACCAGTTGAACTTGGGTGGCGACATGGCTTGCCATTGTGCAGAGCTTGCACTAAGACCTGCAGACTCTCTCAAAGTAGGCAGCTGGGCAATGGCATGCTTCCTAAATTCACCACATCTGAATCCTGTTTCACCCGGGCTGGAACGGCGCTGGAAGTCAAGCACTAAGGTGGGAACATGGCGAGTTCGATGGCGCTGGTTCTGCCGCAACCTGAGCCATGCACCCAGGAGCAGCAGGCCAACCCTTTTACTGCAGGACAAGACTTGCCAGGCAGTTGGCCCCCCTTCCGTCAAACCATCTCAGGTGCCCCACGAAGCACCATGCACGCTGAAGCACGAGTTAGACCAGGAGCTCCAGGCCTTGCATTGCTGCACTAGCCGACACGTTTGGGCGGGGGGGGGGGGGATTTCGCAAAACTGTGAGTAAGCTGAAAATTTTTCAGGTCACAACCGTCCACTGGCAGTCGCGATTCTCCAGCACACAGTCATCATAGTTGGGGTAGCATTCTCTCCTGCCAGAATTCGACTCTGTGAGCCTGTCTGGGGTGGTGTGGCACAGTGTCCTGCTGATTGTTTGCAAGAGTGCACCGCTGCAAGGCTGTCCACACCTCGGCCAAGCCGAAGCAAGAATTGACCTATCATGATCTATTGCTTCCCCTTGCCAGGTCAGCACTGCCACAAGCGGGCCCACCCATTGCGACTACGCCTGCCCTTGGTCATAGGCTCGTTGTTGGTCTGCGCTTTCATGCCTGAGGCGATGTTTGGCCGGGGGGGGACGGTTGGGGGTTTTTTGACAAGTCTCGTCAGCTCTCATTTGGGTCGAGCAGCGCTTCCGCTGACAAAGGCCTGTGCATCCACCCAGCCTGAGAAGCTGGTTTCCCTCCGTTATCTCCGAATCTCCGTGTTTGCCCCTCTGTATCCCTCTGTGGGCCGAAGCGCCACGGGAAAGGGGCAGCGCGCTGTGGCTCAGTGCGCTGCGGAAACCATTCCATCCATGCACCAAAGATGCAGTCCTGGCCACGGTCTTGTCAGTCTGATCACATCAAGTCCCTATATGCCTCCAACAGGCGAAAGTGTCTAGAATCCAGCAAACCTCACTCGCTGCAATTGCCAATGCTCACGCGGCCTGCGGAGCGCATGCCATGCAGCCTGAAAAATGAATGAGCTTGTGCAGCAAAAGACAAGGCATGTTTTGTACAGGCTCGTACACTAGCTGATCACACATATTCTGATCGAGCAGCTATGGCCAAGTTGCTATGTTGCTTCTTTGCTGCTCGAGCGTGGAAAGAAGGAAACCGCGATCGAAGTCGCATTCGGCACACGTTCCGAACGCGAATCATGCGGCCCGACGAATTCGCTTCGAATGGTTTACCATCTTTTCGCTAGCAGTTAGAGTCTCAATGAGTAGGGCACCCTTCTTCCTCCCAGCCAGCGCCGGCACCAATTTCATGTTTGCCACGGGACATGTTACTGAGCGCGTCATTCCCATCCAGAGGCAAACCATGAACACCGACCTGCCTACCCTGGACAAGTCCAGAAACTGCAACGCTAGAAGCAACCCCTGCTGCGAGAGAAGATCCGCAACCAGAGCACGAAAGCCAACTCCTGCTAAGGGCGGCGCAAACAAACCAAAGAATGGGTACAGAGAACGGCAAAATAGGTCTTCGGCCCCATCTTTGTGGGACTGTGGCGCCGCGGCACCATTGGAGACCCGGGGATTTGTGATGTTCGACTAGCTTGCTGGTTCGACACCTATGCAAAGCCCTCGTCTCTGAGAGTCAGTCTTGGCAGGTCGTCGCAGACAGCCCACTCCTGCCGGCGCAAGCTGCTAGCCCCGTAAGGAGGTGGACTGTATCTGCATCCGGACTGCTTAGCAACTCAGGAAGCGATACTGCTGCTGCAAAGAAACACGTCTTCGATGAGAGTAGCCGAGTCCATCTACAGGAGTTATGGCATCACTGTTTAACCAACATGTTTTGTCAAAAGCTTTGCTCCGGTTTACAGGAGCTGTACAACTCGCTCGGCCTATTTGCGGGCTATGGAATTGCTGCACATCCTCCTCTCGACCTCTGCACTTGCCGGCATTTGAGAATGCCTGGGTCACAATCGGTCCTCTCTGTACTTACATTCCTGTTGAAATCCACCGTTGCAGGCTCAGAAGCGCAGTAGGCTTGCAGCCGGAGAATCGGACATGTCAGAGGGCGATGGAGACGACCCTTCAGATTGAACACCTTCACTCGCTGACGCACAGTGACGGTGACGTCTAAGTATGTGAGGGACGTGCATGACAAGTCCATGCCCCAAAAAACAAATTGATTTACTTCGAACATCCCCACCCTCTCCAAGTAGAGATACTCTGTCCTGACACTCTGGGGTTGGGCAATTGTAAATTTGTCAAATGTTTATCGTACCAAGACAGGAAACGCCCATTCATGTTGCTACAGTCGCCTACGCCACCTCCAACTCCAGCATCTATGTTCGCTGAGGGCGAGATTGGCAACTGGGACCTCGACCGTTTTCGCAATGAATGCCAAGTGCATGATATGTAACGAAAGTGTATGATACTGCTGAGAAGATGCCAGATGGCAGTGGGGTGGTGCCAGGGCCAAGGCTCTTCCGGTCCACCCAAGCCCACATTCGCGTGAAGTTGGCCTGCTGTCCCCACATTCATCGCATTGATCTCACATTCTCTCTGACATTCCTGACTCACAGACAGACGAAGCAGAAGCTACGAACCCAGTGCAAGGCCTGCCAGATTTGTCGCATCTTGGCCAGTCACAAGGCCGCCTCACGTACGGAGAGCCGCCACTTGCCACCACTGCAAAACCCGGCAGACCAACAGGGATGCGTGGAGTTCCAATGAATTGGCTGATAGGCTAGGGGTGGAATTGCAAATATGTCCAATGTTTATCACACCAGGACAAGAAACGCGCATTCATGTTGCTACAGTCGCCTACGCCACCTCCAACTCCAGCATCTATGTTCGCTGAGGGCGAGATTGGCAACTGGGACCTCGACCGTTTTCACAATGAATGCCCAGTGCATGATATGTAACGAAAGTGTATGATGCTGCTGAGAAGATGCCAGATGGCAGTGGGGTGGTGCCAGGGCCAAGGCTCTTCCAGTCCACCCAAGCCCACATTCGCGTGAAGTTGGCCTGCTGTCCCCACATTAATCGCATTGATCTCACATTCTCTGGCATTCCTGACTCACAGAGCCTAGCTGGTCAAACTCCAACCGAGCAGACGAAGCTACGAAACTAATGCAAGGCCTGCCAGATTTGTCGCATCTTGGCCAGTCACAAGGCCGCCTCCGGCAGACCAACAGGGATGCGTGGAGTTCCCATGAATTGGCTGATAGGCTAGGGATGCAATTGCAAATATGTCCAATGTTTATCATACCAGGACAGGAAACGCGCATTCATGTTGCTACAGTCGCCTACGCCACCTCCAACTCCAGCATCTATCTTTGCCGAAGGCGATGCATTGTGGCCACCAGCATAGCCTTCAATCAGATGAGCGCTTCTGTGCCTGAGACTGCGCATGAGCCCAGCTCCAGCAGGCCTCCACCTGACACGCTTGTGCTCAAGCCATAGGAAGGCGAGCGTGGCACTTGGGACCTGGACTGTGTTTACAATGAATGTCAAGTACATGATATATAGCGACAGTGTATGCTGCTGAGAAGATGCCAGGGCCACGGCTCTTCCATTCCACCCAAGGCCGCACTCGCGTGAAGTCCCGCTCCCAAGGCCGCATTCGCTGTTCCCAAGGCCGCATTCGAGTGAAGGTTTGTTCCCAAGGCCGCATTCGCGTGCTGGCCTGCTGTCCCCACATTGATTGCATTGATTTGGCATTCTCTGGCATTTCTGACTCACAGCGCCTAGCTGGTCAAACTGGGCGACCGAAATATACAGCTGGGCAGCAACCTCAAGCCATCGGGTGTGCTTTGTGGAGGTTGGGGCTTGCCACTGCCACTGCTCATCTTCGGGGAGGTGGGTCTAGGGTTTGCCTGTTTTGCCTTGGTTGAGGGGAGGGGCGATCGACAAAACCTTACCAACCTTGAATCGCAAGTGTGCAAGCAGCGCTGATGAATCTGCTGGCTGTGGGAAGGGACCTCATATTTAAGGTTCGCACCGATAGCCGGAAGAGGAGCATGGCCTTCGGGCAGACGCTAAATTCGCTAAATGCCGGTGGGGGAGTGGGGGGTGCAGTTGCAGTGCCGCACCTCCCCAGCCATAAGTCGGGCCGAACCCCCGCCCCGGATGACTGAGCCGAAGCAACACATGGTGAGCAGGTGCGCCACCCTCAACACCCTCAGAACATAGAACAAGTCCATGGGTTGCCATGGGTTGACTGGCTTGAACCCATTCTGAGCTGCCCGTGCCACACAATGTCAATGTGCACAAAATCATGCACCTTGCCTGAACTGGTCCAACTGGTGCCAGACCCCAAAATAGGTCTAAGGCTTCCAGCGCAAAGCAAGAGAATCGGGCTGCCAGCCGAGTACAGACGACACTGCGCTTCAACTCCACAGTCATGCCGCAACGCCGCAACATGCCGGATGCCAAGGGCCTCACGCCCGCTCCCGGCTTCTCCCGGTTGCCACAAACAAAAAGTACACGTCAGAAGTACAGCAGTTGCAGTAGCTACTACAGTACAGATGGTACAGTCATTCGCAGGTTGAGGAAGAGGTCATTGCGCCATGCGCGTGGAGCGCAGTGCATCGCCTGAAGTCCAGTGGCCGAGCTCGAAGGTTGAAGCGAAACGGGTGTCGGAAACAAAGTGTTGCCGTGTTGCCTACTGAAATATGATCCAGAAATGCAGGACAATCCATGTTTCTACTCCATCCTGTTGCTCTAAGGCCACATAGGAGGGGTGGCTAAGCGCTGCTCCGCTCACTGCTTGCAGGTGCATGGAGTCAGCAAGCCACAAAATTGACAAAAAGCATGCAACGAGCTGTGACGAGAGTGCCTCAGCGGTCGAATTTCACTGCAACATCTGCAGTCCGTTAAACTCCTGAGCAGCAGCCGCTACAGTAAGCCGTCAAGCCATCAAGCACGTGCCACGTGGCATGGTGCCCCAGCATAATTTATGGGTGTAAATAACATTTCTGCGTGCTTGGGCTGCCTGGGCCTCTTTGGCCTCGGGCTTTCTTGCGAGAAGGCCTGCTGCACTCTGCGCTGCACTCTGCATACCTCTGCATACCTCTGCATACATATTCTGCCTGCCCTCAAACGGGTCGGCGCTTCTTTTGCTTTGGCGTGATCCAAGCCCTCGGGGCCCTTGATCTGCCAAGGTGCGGCTAGTGAAACTTTCAAAGCAGGCACAGAATGCACATGTATGGTTCAGATATCGACGCAAACAAGCTGATAGGCGTTGGTGACGAAAAAAGGGAACCCGCTTTGGAAGACTTTGCTTCCGGACTTCTGACCCACGCTTTGAGTTAACTTGTGCCGCTATCTTCTGGGATTCGCCGGGATCTCTATACATGAACTCCCAGGCTCAAGGAAAACCAGTGCATCGGCTCCAAGTTGCAAGCCCGTTGCAACTAACACGTCGCAGAACACGCTATGCACTTTTTTCATACACATTATGCGACATACGTTACGAACTTATATGCACTTCAATATACTTCAATGGCTTCAAAATTGCTTCCATTTCCTCCGTCGCTTCTCACCTTTCACGCAGCGCCTCTTACACCGCCAAGCCCCCCGCGGGGCCAGTTGAGAGCCTGAGCTGCTCCCCCGCCTCTCAACCTCCCTCATCTCAGCCTCCTCTCTCTCAAAACGCGGAACAACCACCGCAACTACGAATCCACCTGTGTTCGTGGCTGGGGCTCGCATCCGCTCCTCCGGCCACTGCCAGGTGTTCCTGGGCACAGCACTGTCAGACACAATGAAAGCCGGCCATCGAGGAAAAAAGCCCGGCACATCTCATCTTCGGACTCTGTCTCTGAGTCCTTTCAAAGCAGCTGACGCATGGGCAGCCGATCCAGCAAAAAAGAGGTCGCAAATACAAAGCCTCATCTTCATCCACATCGCCAGGCCAAGGGCCTCCACACCGCTTGCCATGAGTCAGAGCGAGAAGGCGATAACAACAAGAACCTAACAGACCTACACCGCAGGGAATCTGGGGCATTGACTTTCTCCCCTGTATCCCAGATTCGCCGGTCGTTCTCCCAGCACCTTGAAAGAGGGGAACGGCTCGCATAGCTGGCATGGCTGGCATAGCTGGCATAGCTTGTAGACACATGGTAATGGAGGCATCTCTGCAGAAATCAGGAGGGGACCCGGTTTGCCAGCCACTGCACCCCTCGCAGGACAGGACGTGCAGCACCTCAGCAGGCCTCCCCAAAACCTGCTGAAACAACTCCGCTTTCTTGGAGCTTCACTCTGCAAATGACTCGTGACACGTTGTGACCTCACGCCTAGAAGCACAAGCAAATGCCCAAGCATGTGACGAACCACTTTGAGCGCAGGGGACACTGGCTCCTGGCTGTGGCTGAGAAGGACGAGATGCTCGCTAACCATCTGCCAGAGCTGAAGGTCCCCACACTGGAGCATTTTCGCGTGCATAATCTATCGCTCTGCGACAATACAGGCTTCGCCTGATGGCAACCACACGATTGAATGGGGTCTTGGCCTTGGGCAAAGCACAGCCTAAGCAGCTGGAGCCAGATTTCGGCTCAGCATTGCGCCGTCGGAACAACAAAACAAAGCCACCACAGAGAAAGCGCATTGCTTGGAATCCTGGCGCTGCACAGAATTGCTGCACAGAATTAACGTAACGCCTGTCATGGTTCGGCAAGGCGACACAAAATAACGGCACTCTGCACAAAAGCACAGAGCCGTTCAAAAGTGGCACACGACGCCAAAAGTGGCAGCGCACCAGATGCCCCGCATTGCTCTTGCAATCTGTTGCAATGCAATGCAGGGGCCTTTTGAATTTCGGGCACATGCGTGGCACCCTCGCCGCCATACAACATTGAGCGCGTCCATCTACAAAGCACAGGAGGGGACAAATCATCGAGCTGACATTAGCTTCGCAAGGTTGCTTGCACAAATGTCCCGACTTAAGGCCTCTGCGCGTAATGTCCCTGGTGGCAGCGAAATGGGATCAACATCACAAAGGATGCTGTTACAATGCTGTTCAAATAATCATCTGTCAATGTCTGTAAGAGCGTCGTTCGCCGACGCTTCGAGTGCTCGCATAATTAAGCCTGCCTGTCGCAGCTGCGCTCTTGCATTCCTAGAGGAATCGGCCCTGGCCCACATCACTTCGCTGCAACATGGCTGGCTTTGGCCTTGCAAACCGCACACTTGGGCGGAATTTGCGTCTAGCGTAGTCTCGCGCAGATATCCGGCTGCGAAGAGTGCCGAGTGCCTGCTTCTCAATCGACCTGCACCCTGTGAGGGCTCGAACCCCTGCAGCCTTGACTTACTATGACTAATTCAGTCACTAATTTGTTGCTCTTCCAAAGTTGCAGGACTGCTGTCGATCTCATGAGCTCACAACGCGCCAAGGCTGCAATGTGGTCGCTGTCAGGCACCCAGTATAACTAGTATAAAGCGCCATCTCCTCCTGCCCTCGAAGTGACAAGGCAGCTCACCGGCATCTCTCAGGGCTCCATCTTGGCTGCAGCTTCGGCTTCGCTGTCGAAGGGAAAGCGGCACAATGGACACTTGCTCCTAAGAGTCCAGGGCAAGGAAACGACACACCTTGAGACCAATACCTCACCACGAGTCACAAGTCCCCCACGCTTGGCTGGAATTCGATGCCCCCCAGGCTGCAGCGCACGGCTCACAGAAGAAGTGGCCACACCTGGGTCAAAACAATTCCTTTGACTTGTCCACATCTTGGCCTGTTCTGGGTCGAGCACGGTAGCACTGCCACCTGAGACCCCATCTCCGCTCAAAGCATCTCATCAAACAAGCCCAAACATCTGGAGAGAAAGTCAGAAGCACTGAAGAAACATACCCATCCAGTGCAGAGTAGCCACGATATTTGGGCCTTCAAACTCCTTGGAACGATTGAAGGAAGCATCGTAAACGCGCCAGACAAAAGCCCACAAAAAGCTACGTTACGAGCTACTTCTAACAGGCCAAGACTCTGTAAGACAACATGGGCAGTGCACAGTTTCCTGGCAAGGGCGTGTGATGTGGCCGGGCTCCTCCATCAAAATGCAGCACAATCGCCACTCAAACTCTGCAGGGTCTGGAAAAAGGCACACACACACACACACACACACTCCATGATGTTCATCCTTTTGCTGGATGATGGCAGGCGCATGCCACTCCTTTGCAACATTGCCACAAGCTGCACCGAACAGCTGCACCGAACCAAAGGCACTGGCATAGCTCCAGCAAAGGGTCAAAGCGGCCGTCTGCGTGTACCGAATAGCTCTGAAATGCAGGTGGCAAGGCACCCATCTTTATCGCGCCTTGCGAAAAACACAAGCAAAAGGAATGACACGGAAGGTTCTCATAGAACCGATTTTTGGGAGGCTGCAAAGCTGCAAAGAAACCTGGAAAGAAAGTGGCCTGCCACCCCAGGCAGGACCAAGAGCGATACGAATGCCTTAAAATTCTCTTAACGCTTTCCCAAGGCACAGAAGGGCAGTCTTGCCCACACACGGTGTTGCTGACCCTCAACTTGCGCTTCCTCAGAGGGCTCCCGGGCTTCAGGGCCCGTACTCAGGCGAAAGGTCGCGCGACAAAGAGATGTTGTGTCCGTGACCCCGCTAACAGACGAACTGTTGCGGGCCTGTCCTCTGATGTCGTGAGCTTTAAAGTTACACATCCAGCGCCCGCCATGCCGGTGAACCTGGGTTTCTACCAAGAAACACTGTCACTGCGCACTGCAACGCAGCATAACGCAGCAATGCGGTTGAGGTGCAGCACGAGAATGCCAAGAAAATTCCTCGGTGCTTGCAGCGTTTCCATCTTGCACCGTCGCAATCGCCCATCGTCCAACACTAGCTACACGATTCATATGCACGAAAAATGGCAGAGCGTCGTGAAGTCCAGCAATTGTGGTGTCCATTGGGACTCATCTCGAGAATGCGGTTCTCCGAGGGACCCCACGAGCGATCCCAGGAGGAAGCAGCTCGCAGCCAACAGGCCAGTACAAATCCTCAGAGCTTCGCAAACGACATTCCGACATTCACGAAGCGCTTTCTAGAAGTCAAATCGTGAAACGTGTCGTTCTGTGAAGCTCCAGGAGCCCCACGAAATGATGACTATCCTGTCGAAACTCTCTGAGAAAATTGAAAACTTCAACTTCTTAACTCTTTAACTTTAACATGTGTCAGAAGGGACTTCTTTGCAGCTGTCCTCCACCGAAGTGAATGCCGTGCCCCTTCGTCTTGTGTCTCACGACGTCGTATGCCAACCTGCGGCGGTCTGCATGATTCCACGTCGTCCCTTGCCAGCTTGCCAGTGTCCGCTCTGAACATAAACTCAAAACTGAATTCACCTGGGCTCAACAGCTTGGCGTCGGACAAGCGGCATTGTGAGAACCGATTGCCCGCCTAGCCCTCAAAACGCGGAGCCACAAACCAGCAATCAGACCAAAAATGGACGTCTCTCCTTGATAGCATAGTAACACATAGCAACACAAGACAGCTGGCCAACTGGCACCGAAAGCTGGCAAAAAGCCTCTTGCCATCTCTTGCCTAACTTGTGGCAGGCACGCCAGGCCACCACCAAGACCAGCAACACGCCTGGAACAGCAAGGGAGGCTGCACAAGCCTGCTTGTTAATCGTCGAGTGTATTGAGCATCGCACCCGATCCGCTGGCAGTCCTGAGCTATGTACGAGGACACGTAGGCCGCGCTGGATCTAATGATCTAATGGATATTTGCCTTGATCCGGCCTCGACAGGGTCGTCTGGATCGGCCCAAGTCTGCTCGTACTCCATCAACCTTGGCACTGTGTGCACATGCATAGTCGGCATCTTTTCGGCACACTGGGCGCTGCTAAGCATCTGCTAAGCCTCCAGGCAGAATGCGAGCCTGCAGGTTTAAGTCAGTAGAGTCCATGCAAGTTCGCAGAGCTTCGTGCCTCAGCCCAGCCGCGAACACCCGCCACCTCTGCTGCAGTGCGCTGCCTTGAGCAGGACTTGGGCTGCGCAACAAGGCTCATGACTCAGAACATCTCAGAGCTGCCAGCTCTGAAAAGCACACTCTCAAGCCCCCTACTCTGCATTTCGGGCCAATGGATTGGCATTGGCGGCCATCAGCGTAGGCAGAATTGTGATCTGGCAGGTGTAGTTGACCACAGAAATCTTCTTGTGCTGAATTGTGAGGGCAAGGCCTTGCCTGACCCAATCCAGCAGCCTCGTGCAGAGGCGTATCGCCCAGCCTCGGCACGAAAGGATGCGAACGGCCATACAGACCATCAAGTACAGGTTCTTGGTCCCAGACATGTTGCCACCATCCACATTTGCACCGGCCTGCGTGCGCTGCAGTGGGCATGCAAAGGGCTCGTGACCCCGTCAACACGGAGCAGAAAGCAGTGTTGAAAGCAGTGTTGAGAAAGCAGTGTTTTTGGAGCAGCCTGCAGGAGCAGCTGCACGGCTGTTTCATGGCCATATCGACAGGCCCAGTGTAACGGTGTGGAGAGGCCCTGGTCCGGCAAGCTCACATCCGCCTCCGGCAGAACTCTGTGAGAACTCTGTGAGAACTCTGTGCAAACATCTGTGGGAACACTGTGGGAACACTGTGGGAACACTGTGGGAACACTGTGGGAACACTGTGGGAACACTGTGGGAACACTGTGGGAACACTGTGGGAACACTGATGTGCATCGCCCGGGCCAGGAGAACTTCGAGCCTTCTCGTGAAGAAGATGGGCGACAACCTGCCCAGAACCCACAGACAGATCAAGAAAAACCTCGCAAATACACTGCAAATACACACTGACACACCTGGCCTCGGTCTGTCCGGCCTTCAAGTCAGACTCGCAAAGCAATACAACAAATCGCGAGTCACCCGATGTCACTCATATCTCTCCTCGCGCTCTCAAGTCCACCCCTGCGTGCTGAGCCGTGCACCGCCGCTGCGTTGTGGAGGGCGGACCGGCCCTGGTAAAAAACAGCCAGGCACGGAGACGAACGCCGAGAGCGAGAGCGAGAGCGAGAGCGAGAGAAATGAAAGCTCTGCATGAAACCCAATCAAGAGGTAGCAGCATAATTAATCTAGGTCAATCTGGTAGGATGCCTTGAGGTTCACAGCATCGACAAAGCCCTTTGCCATGGCATACAGCCGCAGATAGGCCATGTTCCCATCTAGGGCAGCCTGGAAACTCGAAACATCTCCAAACTAAAGCTGTCCTGGGCTGTCCCTGAAACAAGGGCCTCATGGATGCTGAAGCAGTTCCGTGGGTCCTTCCAGCAGCTTGTCCCGAGCTTGTCGTTGTACCAATACATGGCCCCTGGATCTCCCACCTGCGACGAAGTCAAGCCAGCCAAGTTGGATGTCCGCATATGTTCACCCCGATTCACTCCCCCTACCTCGCGCCACTCCCCAAGAACAGGTACCAGCTCTGGAGGCGTCTCCTCAGTAAACGCGCTCAGCACAAGCGCGCAGCACAAGCGCGCAGCACAAGCGCGCAGCACAAGCGCGCAGCACAAGCGCGCAGCACAAGCGCGCAGCACAAGCGCGCAGCACAAGCGCGGTTGACTTGCTTTGGCTCCGAGACCGGCTCCCACAGGCTGGTCCCCGATGCCGCGTGGTGGTGAAAGAAACGCCCGCCCGGCCTGGGCACTCTTTTCACCACTCTTCACCACACAAACTTCACCACACAAACTTCACCACACAAACTTCACAACACAAACTTCACCAAAGTTCATAAAGCTTGACCCAAGCCACACAGGCCTTAAGGTGCCATTGCTGGACATGCAAGAAGCTTGGCTGCCCACGTGGACTGCAGTGTCCAGCCATGCCAGGCTTCCTCCGGCTGCTCACCTCAGCTGCGGCTACAGATCGGATGATCAGAGGGATGTTGTGATGTGATGTGAAAACTCAGCGACGGGAAAACAAAAGGGTGAACAAGAAGAACGCGCGCCTCCCGGAGCCTGTCGCGCTCGAACCTGGAGCCCGGTCTTAATCCGTGCGCAACAAACCTAGACGATCGCAGAAGCTGAAAAGCTGAAGCGTGGACGTCGGAGCAACCCAGCATCTTTTCCGAATTCCAAGGCCAAAGAGGTGTGCGAAGCACACGGCCAAGCAGATCCAAGCAAGCGTTCACGGCTGCACTTTGTGCTTTAGCCGCCTAGAAGCCTTGTGAGCTTGTGAGCGGAGAGAAGTCGGCAGGCCAAGCCCGCAAAACAGTTCTGAAAGCATTGAATTCAAGCACAGTTAGCATCGGTCTCCCACCTTGCAAATGTTGACTTCATGGAAAGTGGCCAGGAAATCCTGCCACGTCATGCAAAAAACGCCTCGGTCGTTTCCATGAATCTTCTGCCGGAGACTAGCTGGCCAGCGTGGCCAGCGGGGACACCAGGACCCCGTGTACGTGGTCCGGCCATGGGGATCGCGGAGTTTCACTAGCGAGAGCACTTCCCCGGTCAGGTCCAAGATAATGGACATTGTCTCCAAGATAGTGTATGCATGGTTCCGCTGCAAGCCGTTTCCAGTTGTCGAGCCGCGTGAGCCAGTGTCGAAGAAAGGCGCAAGGTCGTAGATGGCTGCCGTCATGAGAATCCCGGACTTCTGGTACTCTCCAAGGTCCTTCCAAAGCTGGCGCTTCTCCTTCTGGAACAACTCGGTGAGGTCAATTTGGAAAGTGCTCTGGCCCGTCAGCATCACCAAAGCATCCGCCAGCCTGACGTAGGACGTCTGCGAGTAGCTGCCACAAGCCTTTGCGAAGGCCTTCTCCAGAAGGCATGGCCACACATTGTTTGTGGTAAACTGGCAGTTTTCCAGGCGCCCCATACTGTCCATGGGAAGTTTGTCATCGATCACGATGCTGCGCCACGAGCCCCTGGTCAGCGTCTCTGACCTTGACGTGGTGTCTAGGATGACCCTGTCCTGACCACTTTTCAAGCTCGGGTGGTGCTTCTTGAACTTCTCCAAATTAGAATTCTTGGTGTGGAGGAAAAGGGAGACGACGTAGCAGCCAGATGAGTTCAAGGTAGGATCGCCATTGCTGTCAGACCTGTCAGAGTCCGAGTCCTGGAATTGTGGGAACAACTGACGTACTAGGTAGCCATCATGATGGTCAGCAATGGCAGCCATGGCTACAAGAAGCCCACAGTTGGGAGATTCGCGGCCTTGGACCACGTCCATCGCCATGGGCCTGCCCTTCCAAAGCCGAAGCTTTGGGGCCTCCATATGTAAGGACAAGCGGAGAGAGTTTCGAATCGACTTCTGGAAGTCGGCGTCTTCGAAGTCCTCGAAAAGCTCGTCGAACTCTGCGAAGCTTGCCTCAGCCTCGGAAACTTTGCTCAAAGCAAAGTTTCTGGATGCCTCGTGCTGCAATGTATTGCAATAGATCTCCTGCTTCTGGGCCGCGGCGTTCATGGCGCTTTTCAAAGTCGCATTCATCGGCATCTCGCAGAAGAGGGCATCGAAGAGGTGAGTAAAGCTAAATTCTGGATCAGCTTCCTCGTCAACCTCCCAGCTTGGCAGCGTGTCGCCCACAAAATCCATTTCCTCCATTTCTGCCAGGTTGCTGTCTGGATCCATCTCCTGCAGCTCCCCAAGTGACCGAATCTGCTGGGTCCAGGGGTCCAGGTGCTTTCGACATCTCCGGCCATTGATTGTGTAGGTCACCGTGATCTTCCCAGCCGAAGCAAAGAGCCAGACCTTGGCAGGTACCCACGCGTTGAGAGACTTGGAAAAGACTTCGATCTCAGCTTGGGCCGAGTCCTTGGAGTCCTTGGAGTCCTTGCCCCTTGGCATGGTCTACCGTCTTGGTCTGGAGCGGGTGGGAACGTGCTTCTGATGCTTTCTGAGCTCTGGAGCCAAGCTGCGACAGGAGGCACGTGACAAAAGCTGAATTCCGAGAAAACGTCGGAAATGCAAAAGACAGATTTTTGGCACAGGCGCCCCAAGCGGACGCACCCGAGAAGGTGTGTCACAGTCACAGCGGCCTGAAGAGTCGATTTATAAGTAATTCACTTTTCTTGCACTTGTTTCTCCCTTTTTTTCGAAGACAAAAATGCGACTCGAGAGGCCCAGGCTTGGGGGACCGTTCTGGGACGAGCCAAAGCAAGCCCAAAAGCGAGGACAGTTCTACACTTCTACACTTTCAGCGCGCGCGAAGCAGAAGTGCAGCGAATTAGCGTTTTGTCAAACTGTATGTCCAGGCTATTTGGGGAATGTGCTTTTCGCGCCACTTCGAAATTCACAACGTCGAGGAGAGAGAGGCTACAGAGAGAGAGAGAGAGAGATAAAGACAAAGAGAGAGAAAGAGAGAGAAAGAGAGAGAAAGAGAGAGAAAGAGAGAGAAAGAGAGAGAAAGAGAGAGAAAGAGAGAGAGAAAAAGAGAGAAAGAGAGAGAAAGAGAGAGAAAGAGAGAGAAATAGAGAGAGAAATAGAGAGAGAAATAGAAAGTTAAATAGAGAGAAAGAGAGAGAGAGAGAAGGAGAGAGACGGAGAGAGCAAGAAAAAGAAATACAAAGAAAGAGCAAAAGAGAAAGAGAGAAAAGAGAGAAAAGAGAGAAAGTGAGAGGGAGTGAGAGAGGGAGACTTGGAAGCGCGTGACAGAATCTGAGACTCAAGCGAGCAGCGACCCGTTTGCCGGACTGCCACTCAGAGAAGAAGCGCGCTGCATCCTTCAAGAAGCACTCACTTGTGACCACAGAAGACTAGACACCGGACTTCACATCCTGAGCACTCAAGACAGCTGCATTTTGGGTGCCATCCCTGTTGCAGTAGTGGTCCTGGGAGATAAGCTACGGGAATCTGCCAAGCCTGGTGTGCAGCGAGAAAGGCTGCGAGACTTCTAGTGAGCCGTTGAACCCGTACCGTGCAACCTGCGTCCAACTTTCAGTTAACTCCATGCTGATCAGCCAAGCCACGCTGCGTCCACTCTGGAGACGCCGCTCTGCTCACGGACGGCGAGGCACTGCGTGGTGTACTGAGTGGTGTACTGAGCGGTGCACTGAGTGGTGCACTGTGTGGAGCGTCAGGAGTTTCCACTATCTCCGCACTCCCTAAGCTGGTATTGCCCCTCGGGGTTGTAACCGGAGTGCAGCCCCTCGGAGTGTGAAACTCCAGAGTGACTGTAGAAACTTGTTTGGTTCCACTCCTCAGCTTGTCATCTTCTGGCTCTGCTATCTTCTCCCTGGGCGTATGGAAGACTTGACATGCCGCTTCCTGGGCATTTCTCGCTGCTACGGCAGCTGCCACCACGGCTGCAAAGCATGGGGCATGGCACCTTCCATCCTGCACACAAGCGGACATAGGCAAGACACCCTTCAGATCTCCTACTGTGCTGCAGCACCCTTCTCTGTCTCAAGCGGCAAGCCGGCCTCTGCCCTTGCTGCGGAGCTGCGTCTGTTTCCTGCGCGTCCATCTTACACTACTACATGCCCAGTGGTTTTAGCGCCAATCCGTGGGCACCCGCCGCATTGGGGAATGGGTAGGAACGAAGCTGTATGTCGGGGTTGAAGGGGATTTGTGGTCGGGGTTTGGACACTCGAATGCTGCTAGTTTTGATACTTACGCCTGCCTGGGAACACAAGCTTCGTCTAAAGATAGGGCTTGCAACGTCCGCTGGGCCAGAGGCTGTGGATTCGACCCACTGTCCGGAGATGCCCTTGATTCATACATGGTGGATAAACCCCCCACCCCGCATGCGGAATCAGCCGGGTCCTTGCACGACTTGGCGAACAGCTTTTTGAAAGCGGCGGCCAGGGCTTGCTTCTTTCTGTGCTGAACCCGGAAGGGGAAAGTCGGGATGCGACGACACTTGCCCTTCAGATTCTCGTGCATGCCAGGCTCGGTTCACCCCCTTACTATGCTCGACTTGCTGTTGAGCACATCTGCTTTCCGGGCTTGCCTCGCCCAGCGCTCTGGGACCATGAACAGCCGGGCTTGTCCCGTGTGAAGCTTGTAAGTCTGCAAGCTTGCGGCTTGAAACTCCTGGAAGTTGCTTCAGCTTCCTGAGCCATCTGCTTCATTCTGCTTCATTCTGCTTCTTTCTGCTTCATGCATCCGGATCGCTGTGTCGGATAAACAAAGCCAAGGATCTCCAAAAGCTCAGAGACAGAATCGTCTGTCACTTGCTGACGGTTCTTTGCTTCCTCAAGCTTCGCTTTATGAACCTGCGACTGGGGACAAAAAGGGCTCGATCGTGTCAGATGCACTTTCCAATTGCTGAATGATTCCAATGGACTCACTTTGTGAGCCCTGTGCCTCCAACTCATCTGGTTGAGTCTGCAACTCACTGTCGCGGGCATTGATGATGAGTCCATCTGGCCGAGTTTCTGGAAGCACCGCGTCCTGCCTGAAGCCAGTACTAAGGGCAGAGAAAATGTGGTGCTGTCGGGACGCCTGTTTCTTTTGTATAAGAAAAACAGGAAGCGGTCCGACAAGGAACAGGGTTCCTTTCTTTGTTCATGCATATAACACTTTCTCTCAAGAATAGCTGCATAACAGTCCTCGAGAAGTTGCTCTGAGTATATGCAGGGAATTATGTACCACTATGAACAAAAGATAAACGGATTTCCTGTGACAGTGTAGAAGAAACCAAGCATGAAGAAATGGAGAAGATCACATACACAAAAGCGTAGCGGTCTAACTAACAGCCAGGGAAACCACGAACCCGCCCAAGCACGTTCCCTGCCAAGTTGTTCGACACAGAGCAGCTCAAGCGTAAACAAACGCAAAGGAGGCAACCGATTTCGTGGGCGTGGGTGGGGGGGGGGAATGGGGGAAGGGGAGGGAGCCCTCTGCAACTTTGGCTACTCGTTCAACATGTAGAAGGAAGCGTAGAGACAAGAGACGGCCCCGTGAGCCCGAAACTCGAGAGCTCAGGGTTTTGTGCCAAGATGCTCATCCAAGCGGAAGTAGACGGTGCAGGGCGCAAATTCTGTGCCAACAGCCATTCAAATCAAGCGATGCGCTTTTACACAAGAAGAGCATTGCTAGTCATGGGGTTCGAGCGGCTGTTCTAGCACCTCATGGTCCTCTAAAAGGACATACAGGAATACAGTGAAGACAGGACAGTTCAATCCAACGCGCGACCTTACACCACCACCCCTGCCACTACCACTAGCACCACTAGCCTTTCCGTTGTCAGTGAAACACGCTGCAGGCCAGAGTCCGGAAAAGTCCCCACAACAAACTTTGCAAAAGCAGCAAAAAGGCACTTCACGTCCACAGCATCTCGCGCGACACCGGCTTTTTTTGACCCCTTGCATGGGTCATGTCGAGACACTCGCATGCCTTTGTACGGGTGTGAGACAATGCAGAAGCTTCACCGTGCAATCACTTGTGGACCCACCAAACGTCTTTCCGCTTGTTTTCGAACCTGTCGCGGCAAGGCCACCAAGCAGTTCGCCGCGCAACATAGTGCATCCACATCACAGATTCATTGATAAACTCTTACAAGCCTCTTGTATGCCGAATGCACCGGTGGCCCATAGTGGAACTTGCCCTCGAACTCGACATAAAGGATGTAATTCAGTGCTGCCATATTCCTGAGCCAACATATCAGGAAAGGGGAAAGGGATATGGAGAGAGGAATGAGAAGCAGAGCGGGTGGTGTACCGAATTGTACCGAGAATATCCGAGAATGTCAAGCCCAGCCGGGACTCAGATTGATGTCCTCATTTTTCTGTCGGATGGCAAGGGCTGGATCTTGAAGAACCTGCACCATGCGTGACAGAAGCTTCAGCATCACGTCGCGCTGGCCGCCGGTGATGCCACAGTTGAGGATCTTCAGTTCTCGGATGCCCAGGGAGCACAAACCAACAATGACCCAGCTCACACTAGCTGCTCACTAGCTGCTCACTAGCTGGAACGCGGCGAACGTGCCGAGGCTGTGTCTATCGGTCACCTTGGTGGTGTACCACTGGTTGTACTTCCCGCCCATCTTCTGGAAGCGCGCCTTCATCCAAGGATGCTTTTTCAGCCTGCAACAACAGAGCAACAACAGAGCATCAACAGGACTCGAGCATGCCCACATTGCAACACATTCTGATTCCATGCTGCGGACTGATCTTGGCCTGTCTTGCTCACCTCCAACGTAGATCTTCCCGGGCTGCATACCGGAGCAGGGACTCATGCCGGATCTTACATCGAATGCGTCGACCTGTCACATGCGCCGCCGATTCCACGTTCAAATAACAAATTCATAACTAAAAAACAAACCATCTGCGCTGCAGCTGCTGCCATTCAAGTCATGTGACAATGAAGATGTATTTCCAGTCCCGGTTCTGCTGCACTAACCTTTCGAAAAAGAAGTAGCGCACATCGTTAACTCCATACCTGTGCAGTTGCTGAGCAGCAGCCACATGAACACATTGCAACTTCACAGAAAATTCGGCAAGCGCGCCTCCTGTCGAACTGAGTCAGGTTGACTTGCACAAATCGGAAGCGCTCCGAGCCATACGCATCCTGGCAGCATGCATGGTCACCATGAAACATAGAAGAAGCAAGAAGCTGCACTGAACAAATATCCGCTCTTGCGTCTGAGTTTCCAGAAATTCTTGCGGCAGTACATCATAGAGGATGCTTACAGTGAGGCCATTGGTCACGGCCGTCTGGTAAAGCTTCCTAGCCGCACACGCGAAAACCACACCAGGCCTCCGTGGCCGACACTTACATGCTGCGCCAGCCAAGCAGCTGAATTTTGGAGAAAGTCGGCTTGACATATTTGCCCCGCTGCCAATCTTTCTTGGTCGTAAAGTAGCTTGTTAAAATCATGAGCCTCGGCGCCACCAAACCATCGTCGACAAGCATCGAGCCGCTCCCGAGTCCCGAGGCACACATGTGTCAACAGCCACAAAGCCTCCAAAGCTTCCGACCCACAGTCTGTGCTCTTTGGCACCGCTCCAGGCTCGCACTTGGTGCGTCCAACACCACAAACTGTGGCTTTGCCGGACCTTTGAAGACTACAAAGCACAGCACATGTCTTTTTGATTGCACTTCCTGAGGGCTGGGCACGCTGAAAAGGCCAGCGCAACCTGCCATGGCGTACCTTCTCCGTGATCTTTGCTAAGATCACGGCCCAGCTTCTGCAAGTGTGGAACTTCGACAGACAAGCCATCAAATCCAGAAGTGCGCTTGAATGGTCGAAGCTCTCAACTCCAGATGCTGAGGAAAAGGCATCCCTTCCGCCTTCGGTGGCTCCAAGCAACCGTAAGACTTGCCCATTACGCAGCTTGCGCCTGTGAGAACCAGAGGAGCTGTCGTCACTATGTGGCAGGAAGAATCAAGGGCAAGTACCAATGGCTCTGACACCATGCGCATGTTAGGTCGGACAGCCTGCCAAGCCACACGCGTGTACCCGCGATCTTGTTACGCATGCACATTTCATGGTGAGGTAGACTCCAGTGTGATCCAGTGTGTCTTCTGCAACAGCTTTAGCAAACCACATGCCAAACTATGGAATACATGCACGTCGTCTTCATCCACCTCCCTTCCAGTGACTTAGCTTTGTTGGACCAGGTCACTGGAAGCCTGGCCCGTGCATGTCAAAAGGCATTCGGACCAATGACGACAATGAAAACACATCCCAAACAAGGGCGACGCTTCACCCCGTAGTGCCCTATTGCGCTGTCGGAACCAGCAGGGAGTTCCCGAGGCCAGGATCGACGGCTGACCAGGGGCGACATTGCGCGCATCGAGGACGAGATGGGGGACCAAAGAGTCCGGCGAGTCGGTGCATTGGCTGCTGTCCACACTTCTCTGAACAGGCCTTGCGTGCGGTCTCCGACAGAAGGGAGGAATGCAAAACTTCAAGTCGAAGAATGCACATATTGTCCAGATAAACCCTGAGGCAGAGCCGACACACAGAGTTCCTGTCCTTTGGTACTCACGTGATGCTGACCTGCACTGCGGGCATCTTGATATTTTTGGCAGAAGGATAGAACGATGGATGGCCTGGTGGGCCTGATGGATCCAGCCGTACAATGCACACGCACTCTCGCACCCCAAAAGCAGTTTCAAGAATGATGAAAACAAGACATGGAGGCCCAAGAAAAGTCTTGTCCACCCCTACTAAAACCTGGACAGTGCACGAAACGTCAGGAAACGCTGTGCTGAAAGACCCTTCACAACACTCTCGGGACAAAGCAGCGAGAAAAACACATTAGTGGCAGTCTTGGCATATCGGGAGCCGAACTTATTTTGTACACACTTGTGAAACGCAACAGTTCCGATGCGCGTTCAGCAACATTTATTGCTTCTTGCTTTTTTCGAGCTGCCTTGACACGTGCTTTGCGCCCATTCGGCCATAGCACGCAGTGTCCCAGAAACGAACAGCTGACGGCAGCTCAGTGCTGCAACACTGGTTTAAGGTAGCATGCAGTGACCAGGCTTCCACTTCTGGCCTGTGCCGTCGATCCACTCATCCAACAGCCTTACCTGCCATGCTCAAAGCTGCAGACACAGCAGCAGCACCATAAAGGTGTTCACATGTCTGTGGCACGGAAGGGCAAGCTTCTCTGGCTGCTTTCTCTTCGGGGCTGAGGGTCGTAGTCAGCGCAGGACCAGTGCCTCGGATTGTTTGCCAAGCACGATGGGAAGACAGGAATTGAAAAGGAACTGAAGGCCGCTTGGACGCCAGCTCTTCTTCAACTTCGGCGTTGCTTCTTTCTTGGGCGGCCTTGTCACTTCGTCATTTGCCCATAGTGCTCTCTGTGCCAGTGCATTGCCACACACACACTATGCATTGGATGCATTGGGCTCTCGGCTGAGTCGAGCCCCCCTCTGGGCTCGCACTGTACGGTTTCAACAAGGAATCGAACCGCTGGCGGTGTGGCAACCACATCTCCTTGTAGAGCCCATCCTTATCTTTCAATGCATTCGCCTTCTGCAAACCCACACACACGTTGGGTTGCAGTGCGGTCTTCCCATGAGGAAACGCTATGCACCTTCAAGGGCTGCTTTTTTTGCAATGCGCAGGCTCTAAGGCTGAGCGCATAAATCCGGTTATCATGCTGAAGCTGTACAAAGCGTTGAGAGAACATTGGATGTAAACAATCTTGCCACGCTACGGAATGGAGACGTAATTGTTGGGGAATAAGGTGGTATCTCTGTTTTGCGCGCATTGCTGTATGTAGTTGAGGCGTTCTCTGTTCTCGGAGTCGGTTTTTCTTCACAAAAAGTGTGTGCACGTCTCCAGGAGCCAATGGCCCTTGAATATTCTGATCTTTTTATATGTTCAATCCTTGTTATTTTGGTGCTTGCTCAAGGATTCCCTGCCTTAGAGGGTCTGCTCTGCTGGTTCTTAATGCATGTCCTGAAAGTTTAAAATATGCGAGAACTTACAATTTGGCATTCTGAAACGTCTGCAGCATTTCGACTACGACTTGGTTTAAGCAAGTTCCGTCAACGATGTAGGGGAATGTGTGATGATCTTCTGTAACCTTTCCTTTGAAATGAATTTAGTCTTTTTGGTTCGTTCTGGGTTCGTTGGATAGCTTCTAAACCATACTTCACTTCACTTCGTAGTGCTGCTTCCCAATCAAGTAGTACAGTCAGATATGTTCCTGGTCGTTCTCCTATGTCAAGTAAGCACCTTGCAATGAATCCAACTTGGGTGTCTTGGGCTTGGCTAGCGAGTGTAAGTGTCTCCGAAAATTCGTCTCATTCAATCATCGCATTAAAGACATCGAGAAGACTTTGTCAATTCCTTTCGTGCAACCATTTGAGAAGCTCACAACAGTCTGGTCCCGTGATGTATGATTTGCCGGAAAGATGTGCTTCTCTTCTGCTTTGGGAGTTGTCACGTGCGTGGGGCCCACTGCATTTCCTGTAGATACTTGGCTGCTTCATTGGCAAGTTCCGACTCCTTGATTACTTTACCTTCGTGATTTCTAAGTTTAGTCCGTCGTGATTGGAAAGCTACCTCGCGTTCTTTAGTCCGTCCCATTTATATCCTGTTCTGTCGGCTAGCTCTTCTATTTGTCCTCGCCCTTTATCCTTGGCAGCTTTTGTAAGCTCGTATTGTGAGTTGTGTTACTTCTTGGGTATGTCCTTGCCGCTTTTGCAAAGTGAGGTTCCACGCGTCTTCGCTGTGTTGTTGGTATTACGCTGAAACATGTTTCTGGGGCCTGCTGAATATAATTACTTGGTGATTATTGAATGTTGCGCATGTATCTCCATGTGTTGCGTTCTATCGCTGAAGGCCTCAGACGTAAGACGCCGAATCTCATCCCTATGATGTGCTTTTTGTTGGTCATTGGGCGCACGAAAATTTGCAGAACTATCAGGCCTTTGGCCTTACCCCCTTCCATGACCGGCCAGCTCCCCTGATCCCACCGAGGTACTGAGATTGGAACACCGGCTCGGAGATGGAGCACAGGGTGGTCGAACCAACACGCACGTGCACCCGCGCATCAGCGTCGAGACTGCTCTAAGGGCGAAAGCCATGACTGATTCCCTTGCGCTGAGCCCTGTCGAGAAACCAGCCATGCGCGACGTCGCTTGTAGGCTGCCTTCCCTTTCGCTTTCGCATGCCTTCGACACCTATGCAGATGCGGTGCTCTCCTCATCCTCTCCCTGTTCCGCACTTCTATGGCTGTTGCTTGTGCGGTTCATGTGCGGTCTGGAGAAGCCGGCTCTTCCATTGTTGTCGCTCTGCGCCGACGACAGGAATTGGGATCCAGCTGCACGAGAACAATCTTATACGAAGTAACACTGGGCCTGTCGAGCTCCACTGCTGTTGTGCGCCGACACACTGTTGATGCCGTTTGACATGGGAAGGCGTTCCGTGCATCAGCTGCAAGAAGAGCGGAGTCTGAGGTCACGAGGTAAAGATTTACCTGGCTCTCTTCTTATCTTCTTCTCTCTCCTTCTCTCTTCTTCTCTCTTCTTATCTCTTCTTCTCTCTTCATCTCTCTTTTTCTCTCTTCTTCTCTCTTCTTCTTATTCTTGCTCCGTTCTCTCTCCTCCCTCTCCTCTTCCTCCTACTCCTCTTCTTCTTCTTCTTCTCGCGCTCCTGCTGCTGCTGCGGGCTTAGGAACTCGAGGGGCCCCTGCTCTCTCTCCCTTTCTCTCCCTCTCTCTCTGTCTCCCCCTTTCTGTGATTGACTGCACTCAGAACCGGGCAGTAGCCCACGGCTTTTTGTTGCCGTTCCAATGCAGCACCTTCTTGGTTTGAAGCTTGGCTGCAGTCATGGTTTTGCGCCAACCTGGCAGAGGAAAGTCTAGCGACACGGTGCCTAGGACTGGCATGTCCGCTATAGGGGGGCGCGGCACCCAAGTCTCCGTAGTTCCACTCGGCTGGAAACACCATGTAATCCTTCTCCTCTCCCTTCGCACAAGTCATCTCGAGAACGTTCCGGCACAAAATCGGAAGCGCCTGCTTGAGATTGAGAAAAGCCAGCAACAAGGGCGGCTGAGAGCCGCCAACCTCTGTCGGGATGTGTCGGGCTTGGCTGCACCACCCCCGATACAACCGATACAACGTGCAGCACCAAGGGGCCCAGAGCTTGCCGCCACAGCGGTTGTGTTGTGTGACAAGCTCCTCCACCCGTTCCACCACGTGCCTAAGCAAAGCTGACAGCCACTTCGGCTTGTAGAGTTTCTCGCCCTTTCATGCGCCATCTCTATCTTTGCATCGAATTCTTGCCCAAAAGATACCAAGGGAGCCCTTCTCGTCTGGACAGTTTGTTTGTTGAATTTGAAAGCAAAACGCAAGTCGAGCCGATGAACTCCGAAATGAGTCGACATGTAAAGCTATCACAAGCATCGAGGTTGAACAGCCTTTCGTCGCATGTGTGGAGTTTGTCTCTCGAGCCTGTGTAAATTCTGTTGACATGGTAAAATGCTCGCGCAGGGTACTGGACATTTCCCATGCCGAAGCCCTCTGGCCAACTTGGGGATGAACAGACACAAACTTCTTCTCTAGGCGGAGATGTTTTTTCCGGCTAAAACTTGTTCCCTCTCCATGCTCTGGATGACAAAAACGCTCGAATTTTGAGGCTTTGGCTGGTCCTTCCAGCGTTGCAGGTTCACTGCAAACACGCCGACATTGTATGCCTGAAGAGACATCCTTGGCACCAAAAGCTAGCGGATTGAACAAAAAAAAGGCGAACCGCGGAATCTGTCCCTCAGTTTCGTACAGTGTCTTCCAGCTTGCCCCAAGTTGCGCGCTGCAACCTTTGGGCCTGGGAGATGGACTAGTCGAATGCTTTCTGCGAAATGTCGCTGAGCATCACCGCGCATCACCGCTCACCATGTTCAGACACGATGCTTTCTGAGAAACTTGTCCATTCTGACCTGTCAAGATGCTCAACGAAGCACAGTTATTCATAAGTCAAGCTAGCCCTCGCCTCATTTTCACGCGCCACAAAGCCAATGGTTTTACCACTTGCCAGTAGCTGCTTGCGTAGCTCCGCTAGATCAGCCTGCCAGCATGGCCGAACAAGCTGGTTTACCGAGGTTAGGACTCCATTCCGGCGCCTGAACTATCGTATCTGCATCCAGATAAATGACAACCTGAAAGGATGCAGCACACCAACATGGTGCTCAAAGAATTGAAAAACAATCCAACCTTTGAATGCATGCCGGGGATATGGCAGCTCGTTCTAAGATCAAGTGCATGTAAAACCTCGCAAAATTCTCTGGTGTGTCAATGGCTCCCCGTTCCTGGCCAACGACATGACGACTCAACCGCCATCAACTGCCATTTGCCCAACTTCCCACATCTAGGTCCTTGCGCAAACTTGCGGACACTTTCGCGACTGCCTTCTCGATCAGCTGACCTTCCACCTTGAGGGCAAACAAGCAAAGCGTGCCCAGCAACCTTCGTGGCAATATCAAATTGCCAGGAACGCTGCCGAATGAACTTTGATCAACACTCCCGTCACACTGACCGTTGCGTGGCAGTCCAGACGAATGCCGAAACGCTCCTGGGACGATGCACACAGACGATCCCACGTAGAACCGATTAACCATGGCAAGCACTCCACAAATTGTGTAATGTGCCTCCTGCCTTGAAAGTGTTGAGAGATCGAGCTTGCACAATGATATGGATAGTCAACTCGTCCGGCGATGCTGTCGAAGATACCACTGAGGCAACACTGGCTTGCACACCTAAGAAGCCAGAAAAGCAGGCCAGTCTACAAGTCGGTCCCTTACCGTGAGGCCAACACCTTCCACTTGATTCTCATCCGAAGCGAATACCACATGAAGCATATCTGGACCTTGGCCAGATTGCTTCTGCGATTCGAGCCATATGTATTATCAGGTGCTATCAAACTATGCGCCATCATGTTTGTCTACATCCTCCCTCTTCGACATTGCATGCAGCAGAATTAAGGTCTTTGCTATCAGCGTTTGGGTGCGTGTCATGGCAGTCGTTGTCACCTCCACTACCACCCTCGTCTGACGGGTCGGAGAACTCCGCGCCAGCTTCCGACCCGCTGGACTCTCCCACGTTCGAGACTTGAAGGCCACCAAGATCGCCATCAAGTGGGCCCTCTGCTGCAAAATGCGGCATACCGGATACCACAGATATGCCACCAGAACTTGTGAAAATACCTCCCACGGCACACATTGCTCATTCACATGCAATACCTGCTGCAAACAAGTCCTGGCCCTTACCCTGCCTGGCGCTGTTGGCCCGATGCCGGCAGAAGAGGGCAAATCAATTGGCGATGTTGCAGGGATGCTCGGACTCGCAAGTAACTTGCGCAATTGCTGTTCCAGGATGTTGAAATTCTGGTCGGTGGACTTCACTGACGTATCGTCCTTCACATCCACAAACGACAAACGCAGCCAGCACGGACACACTCACACGACAATTCAGGCACCCCGCTTTGCAAAAAAAAATCTGAGGGTCCGTATAATGCTGCATGGCGCCATTGTGCACTTGCCAAAGGAAGCCGAAACCGCACAAGCCAGCCATGATGGTAACCAAAAACAGATACCGTGCAGCTTGACTCAGCCACTGTGAGCGCCGGCCTCTTGCCTGCCAGGCACATGTTTCTCAGCTGTCTAACGCTTGAACATTTGCACTCCAATGGCTGAGCGCCAGGCCGTCATCTGGACAAACACATTGTGCAAGTCCAACTTGCGGTGTTTGCTCCGCCGCTCGCACAACTCGAGCACATGGAACGCCCGCGAAGCCGAGCCATATCTTTCCGAACTACATTAACCGGTGGCAAAACACCTAGCATCAATGTTGGGTGGGTGGGTGGGTGTGAGTGAGTGTGTGCGTGTGTGTGTGTGTGTGTGTGTGTGCACAAGGCAAACCAATGCAAAACATTGATGCTTTCAGGATGCCCACACTACGGTTCTACTCCTGGCAAAAGCGGCAGCAAATTGTCAGTCAGGAAGCAACGAAGCGACAACCAAAACCTTAGCGTTGACGCCTTTTTCCCCACCTTCTTCCCCGCACCTTGCCCAACGCTGACCCGTCCCCATAATCCCAGTATATCCCAGGCAGGAGGCGGACGAAGGCGGTTCGAGGACCGATACGACGCAAAGCTCAGGGTGGGTCCGCTCTTGTCGCGAACGAGAGCGTGGCCCTGGACGTTTAGGGTGGCCGCGGCACACTCGAGTGGTCTGCTCCGGGCACGAAGGGTGCCAAACCGCGGACACGCTGCAGCGTGGTCGTCGAGAGGGTCGTGCCGTTGCCGGCAGCGGCAGCGTGCGGAGGCCGGGGCAGTGGCAGGCAGAGCCGCTGGAGAAGCACTCGGCACTGTGAAGACCCAGCCCACCCTGGCGCAGCGCAAGTTGAGCTTGATATTGGGTCAATACTGGGTCAATCGAAGACTGGGCGCTGCCAAAGCTGATTTTCAAAGGGGCCGTAAAGTTTGGAAGCACTTGCTTGAAATGTTTATCATGCCAGCATTGATGGTTGGATGAAAGGAGCGTCTCTCTTCTTGGCACTGAAACAGATTTGCTTATTTCTGGACAACTTAATTAAAAATTTTACATAGTTTGACATAAATCTACAATCGTCCAACGCGGTCCCTGTGCTCTAGCCCAAGCCGGGCGACAGCGTACGGGCAACAGGCAGCGGGCAGTCATGCCAGGCGCCTGGCGTGTGGTGGCTGCGCAGTTGAATCGGTGAGGATGTCGCTCAGGGGCGGCAGCTCCCCATCGACATTGGCCGTGCCACTGGCAGCGAAGGAGCGCGCGGCAGCGAAAGACAGGAGGGCCGACCATCGGAGCGTGTAGGCAGAGATGGCGGCGGCTCCCGAAGGGGGCGGTGCTGACCGCGCCTTGCACCTTGCGAGCAGGCGGACGGCCTGAGTGCTCCAGCGCCCACCAAGCTCGAGCGCGACGACGGTCAGCCGGCAGCGGCTGGACCCGAACAATTCCGGATATGTGCGCTCCTTGGCACGTATAACAGTCACAAGCGCAACACCAGCTGTTCCACCGGCAACCTTGCGGGGAAGCCTGGCAGCCGTCAGGGGAGAAACGAGCGTGATGTCGACTGCGAGTTGCGCTCCTCCCCACAGTGGCAGGCCGTTGGAAATGACCTCAATGCGCCTGTCGTCTTGCCGGACTGGGTCGACGTTGAGGTCGCAGACAAGCACATTGAGGGCGACGGCCGCACCAGCTTCGCGGCACATCCTGGCGGCAGCACGCTCGAGACAGGGCCGCCCCGCGCAGGAAGAACACCAGAGCGAGGGCAAGCTGCAAAATGGTCGCCGAAAGGATCATGGATTGCGCGGCACCGGCATCTGGCAAAGGTCAGCGGCAACGGCAGCCGGAGTCGCGGAGCAGTATGACCCGGAACAGAGGCGACTCCAAGGCCGTCACTTGTGCCCACGTGATCCAGGTCACTTATGCCCACGTCATTTCTGGTCACGTGCGCCCACGTCATCGGTAACTTTTCCCTCCCGCCCTGCCGAATTGCGAACCGAAGTACTATCAGCTCCCCTGGGGGCACCATCAGTTTGCGTTGGCGTAGCTGAGCATTCTTTTTTTTCGCGCACCTTTTTTCCGCCGAATCTGCTGTCCCTAACGCCTACTGGCTGGAAGCCCGGCGACCTACGGAGTCGACGAGGACCTCGCTAAGGAGCGAAGGGCCCCATTGACGTCGGCAGTGCCACCGAGCGGGCGCGACAGTAAACTGGCGGCGAAAGTCCGCGCAGCTGCGAAAGAGATGAGGGGCGACCAACGCAGCGTGAAGGCAGAGATGGTTGCAGCCCGGCTGGGACGGCCCCGTGCCCGGCACCGAGCAAGCATGCGGACGAAGTTCCCACCTGCAGCGCCTGAATGCGCGCATGTTTCAGTGGGGCCGTCGCCTACTCATGTGGCCTCGGGGGGCGCCGACAGCCGCAGCTCAAGGGCAATTAGGTTGGCCAGACTTCTTTTTGCCAGGTTTTCGCACCACCCTCAGAAGTCGGGAGCCGCGGGCAGGTGCCTTTGGGCTGTGGGGTTTTCTTTTACCCGCAGTCCGGAGACTCTTCATGCTGGCTAGATTTTGCGACTACTCGCTCCTTGCAAGCAGCTGGGTTGTTGGCCCGCTTGTTGTCACTACCTGACAGATGTCTAGCTGCTGAGATCGCAAGACACGCCTGTGCACGACTGTCGTCTTCGGTAAACAATGTGATGTCCGAGCCGGCACTCCCCGAACAGTTGTGAAAGCTTGGTTACGTCACATGCGTGATGCCGTGACTCAGCATACCAACTTGCGTTATAAAAACCTCTTGCAAAGCATTGATTCTCGGGAGTGCTATGCCCGCTCGCAACCACAACCGCATCTGCACCGGGTTGTTCACAGACATGCGTGTCCCATTGCTGCCAGATGCTGCCAGATGCTGGGGTGTAGCAAGAGGTGGACATCATGACTTCTTAGATGGGCTCTCTGCGCATCATCGCCATGGCAGCGTACATCGCTCGTCTTTGTGCTGATGGCCCCGACTCTCTGTCACATGCACTTCTAGAGTGTGTTGCGTACTCCCAACCGCGCCAGCGCTGGCGAATGCAAACTCGCAGTTCGCACGCTCTGAGTTTGGAAACACCACATGCGCAGCTACACACTGACGCGCCTTCTCTACGCTGGAGGTGGTGCTCTGGCTGGTGCCTCACCGGGTGGAAACGGCGAAGTCCGGTGAGCAAACAGAGCCGAAACAAACAATGGCTCCTTTGGCTTCTTACTCGGTTGTTGCCGTGGTTGGCGGGCATGGGCCGAGCTTATCACAGTGGAACGCAGCAGGGCACTTCACTTGCGCATCCTCGCGGCAAGCGCTTATTCATTTAGCCTCTGAAACGGAGCAATTGGCTGCTGTCGCAACGGTTGCTTGTGACCCTTTTTGGCCGGAGCCAGACTGGTTGCTGCCCTCCAAGCCTCGTGGTGGGGTTTCTATCGCGATAGTAGGTGAGACCCTGCGGCGTTACGGCGGTTGGTAGCAAGCGTATGATGCCGATTGTGAGAGCTCGCAGCTTTTTTACCTGGCCGATGCTAATGTGCATAATAATACCGGCGGAACACACGCGGGTGGTGTTTATATGTTTTTATTGGCTTGCTCCCGACAGCACGTTTGGGTTGGCAGGCTTCAAAACCTCCACGTTGTAATTTCGGCTTAGGATACAGTGCGGGATTCCAAAACAGGAACTCTTGGCTTACGCTGTCGAGGAGGTCACGCACGCGGTAGCAATGTCGCCTGCACACTGGCCGGGCCACGTTCGGCCAAGCTACCCGTCCCATCTCTTCCCTTCCAATATGCACTTCAGTCGCGGGCGGGGATTGATGCTGTAGCCGCCACCGTCCGCGGGCAGCACTAGACGGGCGAGCTGATTCCGTAGTAGTGTCACGCGATGGGCGCAGCGCCTACGACAGCATCTCGCGAGGAGGCGGGAGGTTGCTCGCCCTTTGTGCGACTGTTTTATGGCCAGCCTCATTTTATTCCGCCTGGGCCTGCACAACGCCCCGCCTTTGCCGCCAGGGTTTTTGCACCCGTCCGGCAGCATTCTGGCCGTTTCGGATGTCAGCACAGTGCCATCACGCGCACAGTCCCCCGGTGGACCTGGTTGTTGGGCGTCGCGGCAGAGTGTGGGATCGCCTCAAGCCTCGGCAAAACACGGGCGCTCGGGATTGTGCCAACTCTCCGCCAGGCCTGGAACAGCCAGGCGCGGACGCGTGCAAAGGAAACCAGCCTGTGCACGGTACAATAGTGTTGGGAACCCCAGTCGGCCATGGGCTGTCATGAGAGTAGCCGAGGAGCAGGAGCTCTGGTCGTGTGCATGAACCATTGCTGCGGGACATGATGCCCCCTGGGCACGATGGTTTCGCGTGCCTCGTGGACCCACGCAGGCGCGACTATTTTCGGCCGGCGTGCAAGCAGCCCCGTGCACGCATGCGGCTGTGTGGTCCCTCTGGTCCTGGGAAACCCGCCGTGAAGGCCTCGGGAGCGAGGACGTGTACTTCATCCGAGGGGGTGGCAGCCAGCCAAGCCCGAGCTTGGGGCCCGGGTGCCGGGCAGAATCAACCGGTTGCGAGAATTGCTGACCCCGGGCTAAGCAAATTGCCCACAACCAGCCCTATGTTTCTTCGTGTTTTCTCGTACCTTGTCACATCTGCAGATGCCGGTCGGGAGTCACCACGAGTCACCACGAGTCACCACCACGGGAGTCGCCTTCGCTCACGGGCCAAACGACTGCAGCGACGACAGGTGTGACGCGGGCGAGCAAGGTCTATGGAATCCTTATCATCAAGGATCTGCGAATAACTGTGAATACAATTGGGCCTGGCGCGGAGCCTTCCCGGGCGCGAGGAAAGCAGGGCGGCTTGGTCGAGTGCAGCAGTCTGCTTCCTCTAGTTGAAGCTGGGGCTCCTGCTTCTGGATCACTGGCGGCCTCCACCCTTGTTGAGCTGGTCGGAACAGAAGGATGTGCAAGGGACGCCAACATCTGGCTGGAGGGGTTTGCGTCCCAGGCATCACGGACAAGCTGCAGAAAAACAATGACACGGCGTAGCTGTGCCTTGCAAAAAGCGGCCGGGCTGGGGAACACGTTGCGAGGTCGCAGCAAAACATCCGTTTTTGAGCCGATTCTGCTTAAAATGTTAGCACATGGCTGAAAAGTTCTGACAATAAACAGGGCAAGCTGACTCAACGTTGTATTGCTTCCGCTCGCAGTGGTCAACATCCAGGTCCCTCACTCCCTCTATGTACACACGGCGTGGGCACCGCAGCGGCAGGCGGCTGGGCCCCGCGAAGTCGCGTGCTCAAGGACGCCGGCATCATCCACATGCCGAGGGCTGAGCCGCCAACTGCCCCTTGGACCGCGACGGAGAGCTGGACCGCGGTCCTTCTGAAAAGAGAAAATCACGATGGCTCTTTTCCACCTCCTGCTATGGGATGGGCTTCAAACGGCGCGGGAAGGTGCGGTGCAGCAAGACTCGCATGCTGGCACGGGTAAAGGGCGCAATGACGGCGGCACACGGCCAGGCCGGCCTGGGACAGGAGCAGCGAGAGGACGGGCCAAGGTCGAGTCCTGTGGAGGCAAGCCTGTGTGATGCCGTGATGTCGTCGGCCATTGGTAACAGATCAAAGCCGAGAACATCCCATACCATCCCAGAAACATTCGTGCAATCCTGACGTAAAAGCTTTCACTCCAAAAAACACGTGCAACCACGGCTCATCAAGGGCAACGCGGGCCCCCCCCCCACGACATCTGGAGCAACCTTGAAGTTCCAACACTTCGGCCTCCCGGCTATTAAAATTGTCGGACTTTCTTCAAAAACACACGCGCGTATGGAATGTTTTGTTTTGGTTATTTCTTTCTCCGCACGCCTTGTATAACCCGCAGCGGGTGCTTGGAAGTCGGCCACTTAGCTCAGGGGAAGTCTTGGGGTGTTCCTGTGCCGTTCGCAGTCCTGGAATCGTTGCCTTCCGGTCGTTGCGGTCAAGGCATTCTTCTCTTCTGCCTGCAAAGCTTGCAGCCTGTCTCATGCTCTCTCAATGAAATGTTTCCAACCCTCTTTGGACATTTTGCTGGAGTTGACACAAGGATGTGCGACGACTACATGCAACATTGCTCTACGTTTTGCCTGGTGTGTAATTACGACGATCCGAACGGGCAACGCTTGGATTAAAAGGGAATCAACCTCCAGGAAACAAGAGGACGATGTCCTTGAACAACCGTTTTTACGGCCTCGCGGTGTGTCTGGCTCCGCCCCGAGCGCACCCAATTCCCCCAGTCCAAACTGCCCAGCTCCGCATGAGCATCCACTTTACCATCCAACCGCTCCATGCTTGAGACGCTCCTCGATTGATTGCTCGCTTGTGCCAGGTGCGTTCAGCAACAGGCTGATGCACTGCATGCGCAAGTGACTCGCAATGCCCTTTCCTGCATCGGCTCTCTTTGTTGTTCTTTTCGGAAGGGGGTCCTTGTCACCATCACCATCGAAAATCCCACAAATGGATTACACAGGTTAACATTTTTTCGCTACTCTGAAGGTGCAACACCCTGGGTTTCTTGCTGAGTTCCACGTAACGTTCCAGCATCCGCAAGCTGTCTGTGATGCCCATTCGCAGAAACCGTGGCAGCCTCCATTGATTGGCAAGCATCTCCATTTCGTCAACGCTGGTGAAGTGGCCTACCCAGCGCTTCGTGTTTGTTCCACTCTGTTGGAGCTGCGGCGCAGGGGTCCCATGTTGCCTTGGGCACAGTGGCTAACTTCTCGCACTACTTGCTTTTTGTGCCCTAGCCGGAACACGTGGAACGCTTCTGCATTGACCTGTTCCCCACCTCGCCGCCCAAAAGCCCTTGAGTGGTGCGTCGACGGGTAAGGCTGTCGTTGCAACATGCATCCCAGACCCTCGTTTTTGCACGCAGGCTTTTCCGCGAGCAGGGCACTGTGCAAAAGTGCCTGTATCATGACACGGGGCTGCATTAGATTGCAAACTCTGCAATCGTTTATGAGCGCTGAAACCGATTGGGGCGGTGAGACGTTTTCCTAGTCGTGAGCGAGAGCGGCAGGACATTGGTTCGAGCGGTCAGAGCATTGAATCAATTTCAACACATACAACTAGCACGAGTGATCACGATCAAAATCAAATCACAGTAGCTCTAAGTATATACGCTGCTGATGCTTTGTAGCTCCAAATACACTGCTGATGCTTGGCCGCATGCCTGACTTGTAGTGGCCTGGCACATCTCAGCTTTTTCAGCTTGTAGTGGCCTGGCAAATCCGAATCCGGTCATGTTTATGATGGTTTTCAGGAAAAGAGATCGGGATGTTCTTGCCTCCTTTCGTGCACAAGTTTACCCATGAGAATTCCGTCAAAGCTCATTTCAGCAAGTGTCATCCTGGCGTGTCCCCTAAAGAGGCCTACGTCATGAAGCAGCGAGGTGACGAGGATCTCAGGGCTCGTATGTCCCAGCGCGGACATGCCGTGGGAGCTCACAAGCGTAGGGAGAGAGAGGCCGCCTTGGACAAGATTCAAGCCAAAGGGGGCCACTGTCTAAGATACATCACTTTCCGCAAGAACCCTAAGAAAAACAAAAGAGGGGCTACTGCGAGCATGATGTTGATCTGCAAACACTGTCGAGGTATGGGCACCCCGTCTACCTTCCAAAAACAGTGTATTGGAGAAAAAAGATGGAACAAATGGAAGCCTCTCTTAGAGTCTGTGGTCGCCGAGATGAGAGGGAATCTGCAGGCGTATGAGGACTTTGTGCCCTTGCAGGAACCGGAGAGGTCAAGTCTCGTTGCTCTGGCCCCTGTTAGGTTCAGGTTCTGCCGCAAGAGACCTCCTACTCTTTCTGACAGGGACCCAAGGACGCTCATGACTAATAGAGCAAAGGAGCTGGCTGAGGCCAAGTTCCTGCGCTTGGTTGCAGAGAACATTGAGCCTCAGCCGGCCCTCACTGCCTTCGGGCAACACCGGTTGCCTGGCAGCAAGGGTTCTTTCTGAGCCCAAGTACTGGAAGGAGCTGGCTGAGGCCAAGTTTGCGCGGCTTCTGCAGGAAGGGATTGAACCTAATCCCGGGCCCCGTCGTCGTCGCTTCACGCCCGCCTCGTGTAATGTGGTTTCGCTTAACTGCGGAGGTTGCATCGGGGCGTGGAGGTGGCTAAACGACGCCAAGGGAGTACCTGCAGAAGCCCCTGAAGTGGTTTTCTTGCAAGAGACTTCTTTCAAGGATTCGGAGCTGAGGGCGTTCGCTGGGGTTGCTCAGAAGTTTGGATATGTGGTCACTCACGTTCCTCCGGTTAAGGGTCCCAGAGGTTGCTTGACTGGCGGTGTGACTACTTTGGTAACCACGGCTCTCCGTAGCCGCTCTACTGCCACTGTTCGCCATGAAGGGGGCCAGGCGGCCTTTGTTCTTGTCAATGGTACTTTGGTTGTCAACCTTTATGTGGGTCACCACTTGAAGGCTGACAACTTTTTAAAGGATGTTTCTGATCAGGTTGAGGCTGAAGGCGCGTTTCCGTGTGCCCTGGCGGGAGACTGGAATGCCACTTGCTCTGAGAACTGGTTAAAGCTGGTGCTGGAGTCCTGGGGCTTTCAGCTCTTTCAGGCCCCTGGGACCAGTAGCAGATGGGAGGGCAGAAGAGTCATCGATTATGCTTTTGCTAACGTCAGGCTCTGTGAACCCGTCTTTCTGCAAACTAGGTGGTCTGATCACAAAGCCTTCAGCTTCCAGCTCCCGCTGGCCACTGTGGACAGAGCCCGCCTGGTGGAGTTGGTTCCTCATCCTAGATACTGTCCTTCGGATGCGACTCACGAGGAGGGCTTTCGTGCCCTTGTTGCTGAACACTGGAGGAGCAGCGTGGATGTTGCAAGCATCTCTCGCGCCTGGGAGGGGATCAGGGCCTTAAGGGGCGACGCTCTTCAGGACGCCGTTGACGAGCTTTGGGATGAGTTTGAGGGCATTTTGGAGAGTCTTCTGTGGCAGGCGGCTTTTGTCGGTAAGGAGCAAGGCATGTCCTTTCAAGGTCTTAAGAACTTCTTTGCTAGGACCAAGGGCTTGCCGGTTAGGTGGAGGAAACGTGCTCACCATGCTAACTGCTCTTATAGGGACAACGAAGCCAATAAGCTTAGAGTCATGAGGAATCTTCATGCCCGATTGAGGGAGAGGGAGAGACTTTCTCGTACGTGTTCGCGTCGCAAGTGGCGTAACCTCGATAACAAGATTCGTCGGTGCAGTGAGTGGCAGCCGGGCCTCACGTCTGAAGCTTTGTACCAACGGATCTTGCATGAAGAGGCTCGCGTTAAAAGAAGTCGTCTGAGCTCTTGGAAGACCAGACTCCAAGAGGATAGGGAAGCTTTTAAGTGGCTTAAAGGGCGAAGGGCTCCTGTTACCCACTGTGTGATTGACGATGAGGCCGAAGGTGCTCAGGACCCCAGTCTGGGCCCCGACGAGGCTCTTCAGAAGATCACCACGCTCTTCCGAAGGAGAGACCCCTGTTGAGGACTACCTCCGTGCGCATGGTCCTCCTCGCCAGGAAGCGGTTTGGAGGCCTGTAAAGAGCACTGAGCTCGCCGTGGCGGCTCATAGGCAACGCAACAAAGCTGGGGGGCTTGATGGCTGGCACTCGGGGGAACTGCTTTCTTTTCCACCTCAGCTTTGGACTCTCTTAGAGTGTATATTTGAAGTCATGGAGAAGGGTGGTCGTTTTCCGAGAAAGTGGGCTTTCATGAGGCAGTGTCACATCCCTAAGGAGTCCGAGGGAGGTCAGACCCTCAAAGCTTCCAAGCTGAAACCCATCAGCGTGGCTTCTTTGTGGCTCCGTATCTGGGGTAGCGCGCGGATCAAGAGCCAGGATGCTAGTCAGTGGATCGAAAGCGTTTTGCCGCCGTACGTGGTTGGCGGCAGAAAGGGTCGGGACATCCTTGCTACTGTGCTGTCCCTGGAGCACAGAGCTTCTCAGGGTGCTTACCTGGGCACGCTGGACTACACTAAGGCATATGATCATCTGCGCCCGTCGCGGGCTGCAGCTGTCATGGAACATGCCGGGCTCCCAAAAAGTATCGTGGAGGGTCTTGCGCTTCTATGGACGGAGCAGAGAAGGGTCATCTTGTGGCAGGGCCTCTGTTCTGATGAGCTTCAGTGGGCTGGTTCTTCTTTGCCCCAGGGCGACGCGTTTTCGGTTCTTGCCTTGAGCCTGACGCTTAGACTCCCTGCTATGAAGCTTCAACGGGATTTCCCGGGGCTAAGCCAGCTCATCTACGTTGATGACAGGTCTTGGGCTGCAGGCAACCCCTCGGAATGTGAAGCTGTTTGGAACTTCTGGAAGAGGGAGTCCACCAAGCTAGGCTTTAAAGAGAACATCGCTAAGGCTCAGTTCTTCCATGTGACCGGCTCTGGTCGACGCAGGTTGCGCAACACTTCTTGCGAGCTTCAGGTGTCTCATGAGTTCACGGTGCTGGGAGTTACTCTTAGGGGCAAGCCAGGCTTCAAGATGAGTGCTAAGGAGAAGAAACGAATGGAGGCTGCTCAGTTTGTTGCTGCAAGGAGCAAGGCGCTTCCGCTCAAGCTGAGGACCAAGGCCTTCCTGATCTCCTGCACGTCGGCTGCCGTCGCGTCTTGGGGTTGGTTGCTGTCGTCTCCTCCCAAGTCGCACATTCGCAAGTTCGAGGCTGCGTGGCGGTCTCTGGGGGTTGACCTCCGTCAAGCGTCTGTCCCTCTCTTGAAGGTCCTGTCGGGTCATGGCTCTGACTTGTCTTTCATGTCCGGGGTGTCGGCTCTCGCAGCCTTCTGGCGGGGAGTGGAGAGAGGCGGTCTGTCTTTGCAAGGGTGGGATGTCAGCTTGGCGGTTTCTCGAATCCGCGCCTTCATGTCTGATCTTGGCTTCACGGTCGTCAGGCCTTTTGTCTGGACAGGCAGGGGTGACGTGTCTTTTGAAGGTGACCTTCGGGACAGGTTTCCTTTCGTCAAGCATGTCATCCGCGAGGCTTGGAGGCGCAAGATGTTAGAGCAGCACTCTAGCTCTTCAAGGAGGGATGCAGTGTTCATTGACTACGATGAACGTTGCATGAAGAAGGGCCAGAACTTATGCCGCTGAGAGCAGGCACAGTCCCGGTTTGCTCAGATGACCGGCTCCGAGATGCCTTTGTGCCCGTACTGCAATGAAAGGAGTTCTGTGCCATCCAGAGACCACGTCTGGTGGCATTGCCAAGGGATCTCGCGTCCTCAGGGACTCCGGCCGTTGACTGAGGCGCAGAGATTGTTGGGTTGGCCTGCGGGAGGCAGGCACGTCGATCATGATCGTCGCGTGCTCGCTTTTCTTGAAAAGGTGAGGGAAAGTGACCTGAAGCTCCGCTACGAGCGGTGATGCTTCGCTCCGCCCTACTGAGGATTTCTTTTCGGCTCAGGACTCGCTCTGCTGTCGTCTCGTCCCTCCCACTTCGTGTGGGCGGACGGATGACGCTTCGCGCAGCTAAGGATTTCTTTTGCAGATAAGGTTCCGCCACTTTGCCGTCAGTTTCCCCCTTCTGGTGTGGACGGCGGCGTTTTCGACTACCCCCCCGAAAAGAGATTGTGACCGGTGTGTTTTGCTTATCGGTTTCCCAAACCATCACTCATTCAACAGGGCATGTGTGGTGTACAGAGTCAGCCTGAAAAGCATCAAGCCAAGCTCCCATGCAGTCGTTTGGCTCAAAACGGTCTCGAGCAGCAGACTGTGAAAAGGATGCGAGCATGGCTGTGAAGCTCCTTTGCTAAAAAGGGTGCGTGAACGCCAGCCCTCTGCGTGTCTCTGCGTTGTCAGGACACAAAAAGCGACGACCCTCTGCGTGCTCGCGGGGTGCCGTGATCGTGCCGGCCTGTCGTGATCACGTGAACGCCAACCCTCCGTGTGTTTTTGCGTTGTCGAGACGCAGAAGCGGCGACCCTCTGCGTGCTCGCGGGGTGTCATGATCGCGCGAACGCCAACCCTCTGCCCTCTGCGTGTTTTTGCTTGGTCGAGACGCAAAAACGACGACCCTCTGTGACCCTCTGCGTGTTCGCGGGGTGTCGTGATCGCTTGAACGCCAACCTTCTGCATGTTTATTTTTGCGTTGTTCGAGACGCAAAACCGGCGACCCTCTGCGTGTTCGCAGGGTGTCGTGGTCGCCTCAACGCCTACCCTAACCCTCTGTGTGTTCTTTGGGTGTCGTGAAGCTTCTTCGTTATTGTTGATGCATGCATGGATGTCGTGATGGGTGTCGTGATGGATGTCGTGATGGATGGCGGGCGGTCTTCGTGAAGGCTCTTCGTTCTCGATGTCGTGATGGATGTCCTAATGGATGGCGGGTGGTCTTGAAGGTTCTTCGTTATCGAAATCGTGAAGGATGTCCTGGTGGATGGCGGGCGGTCTTCGCGAAGGTTCTTTGTTCGCGCTGTCGTGACGGATGTCCTGATGGATGGCGGGTGGTCTTCGCGAAGGCTCTTCGTTATCGATGTCGTGACGGATGTCCTGATGGATGGCGGGCGGTTTTCGCGAAGGTTCTTCATTATCGCTGTCGTGCTGGCTGTCCTGATGGACGGCGGGCGGTCTTCGTGAAGGTTCTTCGTTCTCGATGTCGCGATGGATGTCCTGATGGATGGCGGGCGGAGATTTTGCGTTATCGATGTCGTGACGGATGTCCTGATGGATGGCGGGCGGTCTTCGTGATTCGTGAAGGTTTTTCGTTCTCGATGTCATGATGGATGTCCTGATGGATGAAGGGCAATCTTCGTGAAGGTTCTTCGTTCTGGATGTCGTGATGGATGTCCTGATGGGTGGCGGGCGGTCTTCGTGAAGGTTCTTCGTTCTCGATCTCGCGATGGATGTCCTGATGGATGATGGCGGGTGAGCAGGGCGGCGGAGTGACCAGGATGAAGGGTCCTAGCCCACGCGTGAACGACGTAACCCTGGCATCCTCTGCCGTCATAAACGGGGTGATAGTGGGGATGAGGAACACAGCAACTCTGCGCGTAGACCTGCGGCATTTTTACCAGTAACTTCCAGATTCGCACTGCACATAGAAATCTGTAATTTCGCTTATTGTGCCCGGACCGTGCTTGAGCCAGACAGTAAAGAAAACATCTAAAACTCGTAAACTCTCGATTCAAGAATATATCCAATTCAGAGATTCGCGGACTCATCCTTTTCACACTGCGGGGCGAACAATCACGCTTCCACAAGTCTCCTGTGTAGGAGCATGTCCGGCGTCCGTTATCATTCATCTGCGTATCTTTCAAGCCATCATATGACGGCGAATGCACGACCCCCTACGGTGAAATGTACAAGTCTCTCAGAGGTTCCGCCTCAGTAATACATCCTGACAGAACAGGAGATGCACAGTCAAGTCGACCACTCGAAATGCAAAATAGCTTCGTCCACTGAGCTCAAATCGCGTCCGAACGGGACGTGGTCCCCGTCCAACTTGAGTCTGAATTGGGACCTCCTGATTGAAACTCCCTGCGCAGTGAAGACTTTGCGCACAATCTGCTTTTTGAGATCATCAGCAGATTCACTGGTGGAAAGTCTGAAAATCTGTGGCCCCGGCAAATGCGGGATATTGTACACCGTGAAAAGCCTAGTCAGCTGTGCCTCGTCGGAGGTGCGCTTCACGGTTGCCTCCTTGGAGCCTCTGTGGCTATAACGACAAGCAGGCTCAGCATCCTGTGAAGAAAGAATCAGCAACAAGAATGCCTGCAGAACGGTCTATGCTCATTTTTCTCAGGTCACTCAAGGTGTGCAATCAGAAGGCAGAAAAGTCGAGAAGAGACTCAACATGCGCCATTCAGAAAGGAAAGATTTATAAGCGGCCCACTTATTGTGGGTCAAGAAACTCCCAACGATCCTCAGAGGAAGCCTGGCTAGAGTGCGGCGCAGGTGACGGTGCTGAAGAGGAGCTCGCCGCTTGAGATAACTGAGCGTTCAGATGATCACGCCTGGCTTGCAACCGCTCGCGTAACTCAACTTCCCTGTCTGCGAGAACGTCTTCGATTCTTTCTGCCACAGCGACCAAGTGGTCCATGCTGAGGGTTTGCAGCCATGTGACAAAAGCTCTCATTTGAAGAGCCGTCACACGTGGTGGTGCATCCATGTTGAGAAACAATTTGCACAGCTTGGGCCAGTGCTGACAAAGACAGTGGTCTGACTGAGGCCAACACGAACAAGGGCTGGGTGGGCGGGTGACTCGATCCCTTTTTCTGATCTTCTTTGGCTTTCTCAAGCCCAGGCAGCTTCTGAGCCACTTGGCGACCAGGAAGATGATCTTCAAAGCTTTTCATACACAATGTCAGAAAGCATCAAACTTCCAAGCACTAAAATCACTAAAATTGTTCGACAATTTTTGCCGAAGCACTATCACTATCTTGTCCGAGCACTCAAAGAACGTCGCACATCCAGCACAAAATGCGTTTCATGCTTTGGGTTCGATTCTTAAACCTTCGGTTGTGGTTTGAACTCCGAGCGGACTGCGGATACGGACTTTTCGATGGCTTCAACTTCAACCTTTGACGGTGTTTTTGACTTTTAACTGAAGCTTGCCTCGGAGTGACAGTCGCAGAAGTCGTAGTCGTCAATAGTCGTTGGTGAAAATGTCCACAAAAGGGAGAAGCCCTTGCGACTCTTCACTACACGCTGCACCCAACACGGCAGCAAGAGCGCAGCCCTATTATACACTTGAGCCATTTGCGCCTGCACCCTGACACTTTCCTTTCAGCCACAGCCAAACATCAAAGAACGAAAACATCCGTGCGCAATTTGATGGAAGTTGCCACGTTGCAATGAAGCCGGCGCTGGTTGTCTTCCCCACCGCATTTCACAAAGCCTGCTGGATGCTCTGAGTCGATGCCTCACATGTTGACCCAAGCGTTCGCCAAAAGAGTCACCCAGGCTTGCTCTGGTTCATCTGCTCGACGGTCTGCGGGACGGAAACGCAAAGGCAGGACTCGAAGGAACTTGGACTTCCATCGCCATTCTCTACAATCCAAAGATCGGCGTTCATCGAGACATCCTGAATATGCGAACCACGCAATCACTCTAGGTTCATTCACGGGAGGCCGCGTGTGGGTCGAAGATGACGAAGGCAATTCCCGCAGAAGTCATGTTGCGAAAGAAAGTGCGTCCTCTTATCTGCTCGAGGGCATGTCGCCAACACCCTGGCCACCAGCAACCTTCGCCAGGCAATGCAGTGCAACTGCGGCCGCCGGCATGCTTGCAAGCGCGACAGCGATGAGCATGAAGTCTGAGTTGGGTGATAAACTGATTCACGTTCATCCTGAACATCAATGGAACCGATGACGGTTTAAGCCTCGCGAACAACAGAGTTGTAATGGAAAGTGTGGTTGGAAGAGCATTGACAGCCCACAGGTTCTCGATGACCTCCATCTAAGGGAATTTTTCTGCGTGGTGGAGGTCCCGCACGGACGGACACGCCTTTTGCAATGGTTTGCGGGCCCCGATTGAAGCTAAGCAACCAAGGCTGCTGCACAGAAAATCCTGTACGACACTGTAGCACTGTCGGACTGTCCTGTATAGGAGAATTGCGAATTGCGGCCATGGCATTCGTCCTCACTCGATCTCCTCGACCACATCCGCCCCAAGATGCTCGCCTGGCGCTTTGCCGGGTGAGATATGTTCCCTTTTCGACAACGGCCTGCCTCTGCCCTCGTCGTGAGCGACATGACCTGGCCGACACAGACACACAGACACACACAGACACCACACACACATACGAAAGCATCAACCTTCCGCAGGAAAAGAGCAGGCACGGCACCGCAGCTGCTCCATCTGCAGGGTGCACGCTTGCTTTCTTGCAAGTTCGGCGCGCTGCATCATCCACCCTGCTGCACAACCATACATCCTTGCTGACACGCCTGCGCCCTCGTCGTTGGCCACTGGTAGTGGCAGATGGGTTAGCAGAGACAGACACACACACACACACAGACAAACAAAAAAAAACTCTGGCGCGCGGGTGCGCAGAAGCCTTCCACATCGACAACATCTTCAACTGGTCCAAGCGCAGGATGGACTCCGTCATCACCTAGCACAAAGCGCGCGACGTGGGCAACGTCCATGCCTTCTTGCCT